CTGCTCCTTGGCTGCATTCTTGGCTTCCTCTTCAATGATCAGTTTCCTTTCTTGGGGGTTTAACATCTTCCACAATTCTGAGTCAATCCCTGCCGGACGCTTTGAACCTTTATAGTTACGTACAATCCGGTGACCATCCCAATGATATCCATCTGGAATAATTTCACCTTTGGGGGTCAATTTGAGATCTGGGAACACGGGCGCTTCGGGTGCATCAGGCTCGACATCGCTGTCGGCTGGTAGAGGCGTCCCTGGCTCATATTCATTCTCATCTTGTGGCGGATGCAAACTGGACTCAAAAGGCACAGCCTTGGGAGTCTGCGGAATGACCTGATCTTCGAGGCGGTCGGCTTTGGGTGCTTTCGAGTCGATCAGAGCTTTCAAAGGAAAGATGAAACCCTCGGATGGCAATTCCAACCTTTTTGTTCTTTGGATTGTCAATGCGCCCCAGTTGATATGATAATCTGCGGCTTCCAACTTGGCAACTAAGTATTCACCCTTCCAATCATGACCTGGTTGGATGTAATACCCAAGGAAAATTCCTTCATTCGCTGTTGGGGAGAGCTTACCTGATGTGTTATCCAACCTTTTGGGGTTATTCCAGAACAACACTTTGGCACCAAATGGAATGTGCATTGCAGGAAAACTCTTCACCAAACCTGAGCTGCCAAGGTGATTCACTGCCGTCAAGCTGGGGGCTTGCGTTGATCGCGGTCGCATGATGCTGCATGGCCAAGGGCCACATCTTCAAAGGAAGTCCTGATTGCAACAAGTTGCTTCGGGCACCTTCCAACATCTGACGAACTTCGCGCTCAGCAAAAGACTTTGATGAATCTACATATTCAATTGATGTTTGATGTCTGTAACCCAAATCCTTGATGGCCCTGATCAATTCTGGGGAATTGTCAGTGTACACAACTTGAACATCATCCTTTGACCCAATGAAGTGATTCAAACCATCAACACAGCTTTGTGAGTCCTTGGACTGGCTAGGGTAGACATACCGATATTGGGTGTGCAGATCTTTCAACACCAAAGCAACTTGCTCCCCCCTGAAACCCTCTTCCACGTTTTTCTTGATGATGACATGATCCCCAATAATGTGGTCACCAAACACTTCAGTCTCGATTCTCTTCTGACCACCTTTCTTTCGTGCCTGAGGAGCCATCATTCTTGCTCGTTGGCAGGTTCTGCAGAATGGGTTTTTGGGGAAATGAGTGTGCTGATGTTGGGTACTTGCAGCTTCGGCCAGCAAATCCTCAGTCTTGCGGCTTCGGACATACTCCTGCTGAGCGTCATCCTCCACCAGCTCATCCAACTGCTCTTCATCTTGGGCTTCGTCCCGCTTGGCTTTTGAGCTCGACCGTGAGGTCGGCATTGCAAACAACTTTCTAAGATGCTTATCCTTTTGAAATTGATCTTTGGGATAAACCTTGCAACTGTCATCCAAGACTGGGACATGACCTTCGATCTTGAGCTGGACAACCTTGTCATCTGGACGGACTAGGATTGGTTTGCCGTTTGCAGGCCATGCGAAACTGTAACCCTGATCTACACATCTTGTTCCTACAGAGAGCACAGCTGGGGTATGATCAAGTACGTACGGATGCACAGATCTGGCAATGCGGACAGCTTGACATCAGCAACCTCATTTGCCTCGGTCGAACCATTGGCTGTGACTAAGGAAATCGGATGCTCGGCTGCACGGCAGTTCTTGGCACTAACATCCCTCAGCATGCCTTTGGACACAAGATCGGATTCACTACCTGAGTCGACAAGCCAACTAACGCCGGCCTTGGGCGCAGCTGTGGCAATTGACGGAAAACGACCAATGTCTCTAAGAGCCTTGGGACCGCTGATGAACCTGCACTCTTTGCATGTGATGTCACATGTGTCCTCATTCCAACAACAGAACCCACAACTAGGTGCGACATCTGAATCATGAAGTTTCACCGTTTCTTGAAGCTGTCTTGCACGAACCTGAGCCTCATGTTGTTCAACCTTGGATGAAACTGGAACATCTTCAGCTGTCTTGTACACCTTAGTGAACTCTCTTGGACGGTGCTTGACTGGGACTTGACGACCGACTGCCTTCACCTCGATCACATGTGGGGCCTTTCGGAACCTGAGACGCTTCATGCTGACACTTGACTCATCAGAGCACGAAGTTGCCTTCGGCTGTTTTCGGACGATGCAGGCAAACTTCTGAATCAGGCATGGAGCGGCTGTGGAATCCTTGCTCTTCTTTTTGGGAGCGGGTGAATTGGCCCTTTTGGTGTCTTTGGTGGCGGCAGCAGCTTTGTCATCATGCTTATAAAAACATTTGTCGCCACGTCTGCACTTTCCCTGGGCATGATAGATACATGGGGTTTTGGCCATCTCTTCTTTGGACAACTTCTTCCCCTTATCGTCTTTGTTGCCCCTTGATGGTGAACGTGTCTTGGTTCTTCTGGGTGATTGAGTTCGAGATTTATCATCTTTGACATGCTTGAATGGACACTTTTTCCCCTTATCACAGGTACCCTTTTGGAACTTATAGCAAATCTTGTCACCTTTGCCACCTCGTTCCTGCGATCTACCGCGACTTGGAGAGCCCTTTCGGCCACCTCGGCCACCGCGACCATCGCCTTTGGCGGGTGCGGCCTTTGTGTCCTTGATCCCAGCCTTGTTCTTCTCCGCGATGCGGTTCCTGTTTTCCCTCAATCGTTCACGGTCGATCAAGTTCTTCATGGATTGGTGAAGAAAACTATAAGACTTTTCATGGGATTTCTCATGTGCACGATCAAACATCTCGATGTCATATTTCAGCAACTGACTTGGTCGGATCTGCCTCAACAAGATGTCCCTTAACACAGCATCATCGGGGGTGACAGCCATGCCAGCTAGGGTAGCATCCCATTTGTTGATGAATCTTCTAAGATCCTGGACAGTATCGCCTACTTTGACAACACCCAAAAGATCTTCTACTCTGTAAAGGCTACCTGCTTCTTCTGATGTTTTGAAGTAGTCCTCGAACATGAGCAGAACGTACCTTCCCCTGACCTGGATGCCTTTTCGGGATTGCTGCTCTTTGAAATTCAAGATCCTAGTTGCGAGGTCCCCACCGGCTGAGCGCGTGAGCGCTGCTGATAGCTTTGTATCCAACGTGAGGAACTTTCCAGGATCTTGGAGTTTCTTCTCCAACTGCTCCCGGGTGCACTCTTGATCGTACACCTCATTGAGCCAGAGCCATGCCTCATCTGGGCGATCTGAGCAACTTTTCACTTCATCCCTGACATGATTCTTCCAAGTCCTGTATGACTCCGGAGCGGGCATGTTGTTCAGCTTGATGATTTCGGCCTCCTTAGTTTTTGGCTTATCCTTTTCTTCCCTTTGGGTTAAGGCTTTTACCAATTCAATAAGATCTGAGGGACCCATCACTTGCTGTTGCTTGTTTACGCTCTTTGGGGAATCATTTGGGGAGTTTTGATAGCTTCAGTGGGAGTGAAAAACCCTGACTGCATTGGCAATTGAGGCTGGTCGTTGCCGACAGCCGGTTTCTGCTTGGGACTGCCACCTTTGAGCAGCTCATCCAACTTGGCTTTGCTTCCTGTGCCAACACTGCAAGCGTTTTCAACTCTTGAATCGGCTCATCGCTGCCTTTGGCAGCTTGTGCATCGGATGCTCTAGGAGTGGCAATGTTGAAGTGGGGCACGCTAGTGGTAGCGGCTGGCTCGGCATTCTGGACGGATGCTTTCGGAACGGAGGCATGCTGCGCTTTGGCAACATGCTTTAACTGCTCCTGAAGGTCATCGATTTGGTCCTGAAGGCTGAGATTCTGAGCCGCTGCCTCGTTGATCTTCTCGGCCATCTCCTTCTTGTAGTTCTCGAATTCGGTCCTCAAACTGATGAACCTGGCCTGATCAACTGCAGCCTGATCTTCATATTGCTTCTTCGTGGCAGCTATGGCATTCTTTGCATGTTCAACAGTCTGTGCATAGGAAGCTTCGAATTCACTAGTGATACGTTGCCTTTCCTCTGCAATTTTCTGATCATGCTTTGTGTTTGCCTCTACCTTGAAGTCCTCTACTCTTGTCATGCGATGCCTGAGCCTGATTTAACCTGACCTCTAACTCGTCGCCTCGTTTCCTTTCCTCGTTGACGGCACTGATGGCCTTACCTTCAACCTCCTGCAACCTTTGCTCATACTCCTGCTCCTGCATTACGAGCCTACTTGACCATTCGTTTCGAATTGAGTCAACTACTCCATGCATTATCTGAAGGTGCCTCTGTTCAGCTTCCCTCATGACTTGCAGGGTGTTCCCACTGGTGATTTGGGAAAGGTTGTTTTGTATGAAGGTGAAGTACGCTACAACGGGTTGGAACATTGTTTCGTCATCCATCGGCTCGGGGTTGCCCCCGGCCACATTGGGCACAGCGACAGCCGATGGACCTGACCCTGGAACGGCGAGAGGAAGGTCGGTTGGGGTCCCCATAGCAAAGTTGTGAGACTACGGCTGATAACCTGTATTTTACCAGGTCAACAGCGATGGGGGTGAAATACACTATAACCGTTAAGCTGCTAGCTCTGTTTTGAACCAACGCTATCGGGTAGATCGATGATATGTACAATACATGGTTTTACTGCAGGAGTTTTTACAATTGTATAACTATTGTGATCACTAAAACAATGCTGTATATATAATTGTAAAATATATATATATATAGGATAGGTGTGCCCCAGGTTTTTCAATGGTCTGTGCTTATTTTCCCTATTAATTACATGTCTTTTCCCCGTTAAATTGCGATTTATTGGGGTATACTTGGGGTGAAGTTAGGGTTATTCATGGGTATAATTATGGCACTAACCTCCAAAAGTTGGAAGCTAATCTCTAGAACTATGGTATACTCTGGTTATATATGGTTATACAATATGTAAGCCATTTAAGATGGTTCCGCTGCACCCCCCCAAGTACCCTATTTTACAAAACGCGACGCCGCTTAACATGCCATGGGCCGGCCCCAATCACCAGCGGCTTTGGTGACGTGGCATTGCCAGTAGCATCCACACCACGCCGTACTGCTTGGGTTGCCCGCAGCATGTCCTGCCGAATGGCGGCCAGCTTTGGGCCCGGCAGTGACAAATCATGCGAAAATGTGATACTAGTACATTAAACCATGGAGCAATTAGTTTTTTATTGTTTTTTTTTAATTACACCATTGGTTCCATATGATGTCGAATTATCAGATATATGATGCTCAAAGTCATACCAAAATGATGACCTCATACTAAGCCAATCTAAATCATCAGTTTTATATAATATGATTGATATGTTTCAATGCCCTGGTCAAGTTACATTGTATGAATAGGGGATGGTCATCGCACAATCATGTATGGGATTCCTTATAATGAATCTACTAATCCGTATTTCTCGGGGATGAACATACCTTTCGTGGGAGAATTTTTCGCATATTTCGATATGTTTTGACCATGCCAAACATGACGACTTGATGCGTCAAGCCATTGAGGTCCCAGAAACGGATTTATGCAAACATGTGGTATTCCCCAAATCCACTAGTCAATCCTCCTATTCCCTGTGAACTGACATACAATCGGGGTCCATAGCTCATTTTAGAACAGACTGTACTCATAATATGTTTCGTATTATACATCCCATTATACAATATATATATATATAATTGTATATACATATAGTAGTTTAATATCCCCATGCTGGTAGTTTTATACCTCTTTTTTTCACATGTTTTCATGGTAAACAAAATTCAGTGCACATCTTTGACAGCCAGCCGTGGCTGTACGCTGCCTCCATGGTGACACCCACCGTGTCTGACAGGCCCAGCCTTGGTAAACCCAAGGATCATTGATGATTCGTAGGGATTGAACCATCAACGAATCGGGATTTCAGGCATTTCATAGGATGATTCATGGACGATTTTGTTGCATAAGATTGCATAACTATATAATGGATGTTGAATGGATAATTGATGGATTTCTGAATGGATGATTAAAGTATACATACCTAGTTGGAATTATTTTAAATCACTTCCCTTGATATTAAATACCCCACAGAAACCGTGGCTTTGCAGGGGATGAAACCACATACTTGGGACCATACAACAGGGGTGCTGAAAAAAATGGGGAATTATTTTTTTTGTGGTAAACCCAGGAGCCACACCACCCCTAATTTTGCCACTCCAAATGAATGGATAGCTGTCGCCAAGATTTTGTTCATGTTTTCAATCGAGAGCCACGCCGACAATTGCCAAGACCTCGGGAACTCCCAGTTGCCGATCATTGGCCTTTCTTTGATGATCAACTAAATTGGAAAATGCCTTTATTGAAAGGCATGGAATGCGCCACGAGTTCAAAATGTTCAAAGAAATCAAGAACAATGGATTCTTGTGAGATTGACTACAACAAATTCATGCTCGAAAAAATGAAAAAAAAGAACAATGGAAACAGAAACAACTGACCACTTGACTTCAAGTCCGGCTGTAACTGGGTGCCACAGCTGTCACCCACCAATACCAGCTCCACGCCCGCTTGCCGGGCAAAGCGGCCCGAGGGGAAGTCATAGGCTGTGACCTCACAGCTTTCAACCCATCGGGACAGGATATGACAGGACATACCAAACACAAAACAAATAAATGAGGCTGGTCTGACAATGGTGTATGCCCCAAATCCAACGGTCACCATTTTCCCTGTTAAGATGTCCACTTGAAGGGTATATCCACAATTTTCCGACAATGTCTAGGAAGACTTCGATAATCTGCGTGGCTTCCCTGCTGGATGGTGGCTTCAATCTGCAACTCATGCCAGTGGTGGGATTCTCTAGAACACAAACCGGGGTGAAACCAACACAAAACCTCAGTCCAAATTTGCTGGAAGATTGAATATCTTAATGGGGCAATTTTAGGAAAAGCAGATTTCTTTTTTTGTTGACAATACCATACCAAATCATAATGACTGACCCGAACGCATGGCATCCGATGATCCAGCTGTATGTCTTTTTTTGAAGATTTGATGATGCAATGAAACATTGACAAGGAATTCATCTACTTGAACACCAAACTCAAAACTTGCAAATATCTGATGTGCCTTTCACATTTAGATCCTTCAATAACATGTCACACCGTGTTACTTCACATCTTCCATGCACACTCAGTTTGATCAAATGATCAAATTTGAGTTGCATCTCATCCAAGATAAGCATCACTCAACAATAACCCAATTCATATATACAAAAAAAACATATATATATATATACACATACACAATCATATACATATTATTACATATACCATTCATATAACGAAGAACATACAATTTCAATTGCATATATTTCACGTGTCAAATTGTGCACCTATCCCTTGCTTTCAACGCTCAGCGGCCATGGAGAGCTTCTGGCCGCGCTCAAAGCGACGCCGGACCCCACCCAGGCCTAACGGCTTGGCCTAGGCAAATTGGGCACATGGGGTTCCAACATGTTCCAAGTAATGTGGGTAAAACAATTAAACCATCCCCCAGTCATCACCATTTCAATAGGTGGTATGTATAAACCATTCCCAAATGGCTGGTTTATGGCATTGCTTTACCATGTTTTACCCACATTATAACTATTTTCTTGAGGAAGGCATAGGAACATGTTTTTATTTTAAGATTCATTCAGCAACAAAAGTAAGAACTACTCAAACTATACTACTCAATTCAAGTATGGCCATCCACCGAAAGAGATAAATCATCATCAAATTAGTCGGGATTTACTACGTGTATCTTATTTTGGAGAACCCTAAATTGTTGACGACAGTGGGTTTACAACCAAAAGCATCCAAAAGCTATGACAGAACAAAAAACAAAGAATTGGAGAAATATAGGCCACCAAAGTAAAATACTCAGTTACCAAATAAAGCTGGGATTCGATCTTGCAAAAATCAATGTGAAACACAAACAAATATTCGTTTTTGGAGACCAACCAGCAACAAACGTGGGCAACAGAATCGAGAAATTAATCATAATTCATCTAACAATGGAAAGCTGAACTGCTGAACCAACATTATAACAATCAACAATGGATATTCGTAGGTGACTATGACTATGACTGGCTACCACAATATACATGTGGGTCCCATTGCGATGAGGCCTGTGGGAGATGTAAACAATGGTCACACACACATATATATATAATGTATATAAATACATATATATAATAATAATATGTATATAATATATATATATTTATCACACTATGTTTATATTATTGTTGTATTATTGGTATATTATCATATTTACACACATGAAGACATTATCAAGCTATGTATATATGATATTACATTGTTGCGTTACATGATTATGTATGTCTGAGACTGCAGCAGGGGCAGCTGCCTTCCGCTTCTCGCCTCCTGAGGTGTAGTGTCTAAAAAATATGTGTATTTGTTTCTTTCCGTATAGGATTCGATAGTACATATTATCTATAGTATACTGTATATATCTATATTAGGTGTTATCTACCGTAGATATTATCTATAGTAGACATTATCAATAGTTACTATATATAGATAATTTTTCGATAGTATTGTTTATAGTTAATTATGGTAGATAGTATCTATGCTTTTTGGTAGATATTAACTCTAGTATTCTATAATCAATAATTAATGATGGTCAATGGATGTTAATGGGTTTTATAAACCAACTTACAACTGGGAAACACCACCTGGTATCTTTAGGTAAACAACCCTGACAATGGAAGCCCGTCCATTTGCAATTCATACTCCTCTTTAAAGTAGACAATTCTATTGCCAGGTGAATATGGTTCAACATGATTGACCCCCTGAAATGGATGGTTTCATAACAAACTGACCGATTCTGTGGGTCCAAACAAATATCCCTTTTTTCCGGCCCATATCCAGCTTCATCCCAGTCCTGTCTGCCCCTCTGCACCATTTGTAGCAGCAGCATTCATGCCCCCTCCTGCAACCGATGAGCCACTGACAATCACACCCATATATGCCATAGATCGGCTTGTGGATATGCTATGATGTGGCTAACAGTTAACATAGGTGGTTGGAAAAAAGCCTATGCTATCCCAATGAAACAATGAAAATCCATCCGATCTTTGCTGGTCAATCATCCCCTGGCCGGGGGGCCTGTTCGTATGTCAAATGATCCCCGTACAGAATATCTTGAACTGATCAGCCGTTTACCCCAAGAAATCCCCCCTGGATTCCAGTCCCATTTCAAGATGTTTTATGATACATGGCCCATTACCATGATAAGGATATTTTATGATATTTTATGATTCTATGATGATTAATGATTTACCTATTAAAAATGGTGATTCTCCAGTTCGCAATGCGTTCAATAATTTTTGTTGGCCGGTTATGCCGCCGAGGTACCATAGATGCTCTCCAAGTTAAAGGAGTTGGAGATCTCCATGTCGCCCACCTGGTCTCTGGTTAACGCTTTCTCAGCGAACATCGAAAATCACCATTTTTCATAGCTAAAACATAGGTAAATCATGCCAAATCATCAATTATCATAACATATCATCTCTTTGGGCTATTTCCCAGAGCTATAGCCAGAAACATCCAGAGGGTAGAAAAATGGCCTCGGAATGATTGTAAACAGTAGCAGCAAATTGAATTGAACTTGGTCGATCATAATTATATATAATTAAACATATAATTATATTATAATAAATACAATTATATATTATAATATATTACAATATATATATGTATATATATATATATAATAACATATATATATAATTATATATATATATATTATAACATATATATATATATAATTATATATATATGTATATATTATAGATCCCGTAAGGGATTGATAACCGTCCCCCCCTTGGCACTTTACCCAGGGCACGTATCATACAGTATACAAACTGGTAAAGGCAGGTAACACATGCTACAGTAAAACACTCGCCCCTTCCTTGATTCTATCAAATCCTATATACAGCATTATACAGCCTCGTCTTCCACAAACGAGGTTAAAATATGTTAAAATTCAACGTTTGCACGTTAACCAGCACAGATAGTCTTTCCATGTCTTTCCCTAAAAACATGTGTTCCTCTTTGTTCACGTCTATCGTCTTTCTCGTCTTTTTCCGCATGTGAGGGTCATTGCGCCAACGAACATTGACCAAATCGTGGGCTCAGAGTTCTCAGTCACTTGGGCATATTCTTTGTTTCGAGGATAGTGCCGACCCTTTGAAAGAAACAATCACATACAATTCATACAATCACACATTTTATCATTTTTTAGTCAAAAGTATAGACCCACTGAAAATTGTTGAGTAAGATAGTAAGCTCTTAGTTCACTGCGATTGCCCGCAAACTCATTAGATGAGGCTCTAGCACCTAAGGATTGTCTTTACAAAAGAATCATACAACATAATATTACCCAACTGTCTCACGATGATAATCAATTAATTCATACCTTTTAAGTTCAGATCTGAGGCCTTGTGTTACCTGGTCCCTAGTCATGGTCTCGTGACGCCTTGCTGGCGCTTTCTTCCATGGGAGAAGTGCTGGATGCACGTCGACTGCCATAGATGATGAACATCGACCTGAAAGCGTTGAAACTCCGAAGAATCTGTGGCACGTGTGGCTTTGATCATTTTTGAAACAGAAAGGGGAAAACTCATCACCAAAACTGGAGACTGGAGATATTGAGCAACAATCATGGGACCAGCAACAATTGTGGGTTGTTGCTCCAGAAAGGGGATGGTTACTCCCAATTTTGCGTCGCTTATTCTTTCATGGAAATTCACGAGGAAAGTGATGATTAGATATGATTAGCTAGCGGAAGCCGAATTTGAAACAAACCCATATTGGGAGTGGGCGGAGTGGGATACAACGAGACTTGGACCCATCATGAAGAATGTCCGCAGCTGGTAGCTGGTTCATCACTGTCGTACACGGGTATCCCAGTTCATGGTGCGTTATGATACCTACACACTTGGGAACCATATCTAAAAACTCCAGCCGTCATTCGATCTGGTCCTCCCAATAAAGTGTGGTCATTCGATGGGTCGCTATTCAAAAATCTGCAGAGAACCAAGCCGCGACATGATGTAACATCTGGAGTTCATGCTATTCCATCCAAAACATGAGGGATGTAAAGGACAACCATCATCCACAAGCTCCACAACTTGCAAATCAGCCAAACAGCATCAAACAGCACTTAAGCCCAAGTGCACTCAGGCCTGTTATACCATTTCTCTATTTGGTTTTATCCAAAAATGGAGTCTACACCGCGAAAGTGCAATTTTAAAGGGAATTATCATGGTATTCCATTTGAGTTTACCATGGTTTACCCCATGTTCAACCAGACTGTGCCATCATCTGCCCACAATGGTGGTGATCAATGGGGGGTTTTCATAAACCCAGTGGCAACTTGGAACCTTTATTGGAGCATAATGTCAACCCTGGATGAATAAACCACGGTTTATTAATTAGGTGGGGTGCTCCCCAAATAGTGATAATCTAATTCTCAAATGGTACCTCTCCAATCAAACAGCCGTTTGGGGATTATTAATCCAGGGTTGATATTACTTGGGAAGATGTTCTGATTATCCAAGTGGCTTCTTCACCTGGTCAGTTTTCCTGATCCATTCCCCTCTTCAGTCCTTTCTCCACCCATGGTAGATGTAGGGGATGGCTCACCACATACTGAGACCAGAATGGGGGTTTCCAAAAGATTAGGGGAATGGGATAAATGCATGAATTATATTCATTTAATATCCACTAATATCCATTCATATCCAGTAATCCCAGTAATCAATATCCATACCATGCAGGGATCGTTTGTACACCGCCGCCTATGCTTCGGCCATGGATGGAAGTACGTGCACATGTTGGTCAGCGACGTCTGCGGTGGGACGGCGCTCATGGCCTCCATTGAAGGTCTCGAGGGGTCAGAGAGAGGCTTTCTGCCCAACAGATTATCAAAGGTACACTATCCGTTAATCATAATATATATAATATATATATATATGTATGGACAAAATACTATGGTAGAATATATCATGTACTATATATAATGGATTTACTATAATGCAGTTGGGGTTATTAATGCGTATAGCTATTGTAATTAACCCCGCACATAAGTTGGGATATAACGGAGATAATCCATAGCCTACAAGCACTGCACCCCCAAGTTGGGGATGGGGATGAGGAGATATATTCATGGGATTGCGGATTTCTGAAAGGTAAATTTGGCCAACCAAACCAATTTTGGGACATGGATAGACTGGTGATTTTGAGTAACAATCAAACTTTGAGGTACCATTCTGAAGTTTTTGTATCCAGGAGGAAAAGACACGCCCGATTGTTGAAGGTCCATCTCACCCACTAACCAACATAAAACTATATCTACTGTATGTATAAGTATACAGTATATATATATGTGTGTTCCCCACATCGGTTTAGCAAACACACTCAATTGCACCTATAATTTAAAATCCTTCACCGTCTTACCACTGTGATGCTCAGTGTAAATACATCTATGTCTATAATCATCTATAGACACCTCCACAAACATCCCAAACTCTTCAACCATATCCGGACCATTCTTGTGATACCAAAACCATCTTCAAAATCAAGCAAAACCATCATAATATATCATAATTCATGTTGACAAACAAGAACACCTCATGCTCACCAGAGGCATTTTTGTTGATGGAACTCACCAGTCAGACCAGTCCCCGGAGTCCCCGGCACCTGCGAGCGCGGCATCTTGGCAAAGCATCCTCCAGGCAGGCGACGCAGCGCGGCCGAGAAGGCCGGCTCCAGGGATCTCATGCCGCCTCCACCACGGGACCACCACGTGGCAGCCGTGAAGGAGTGAAGGATCAACCAGTCAAACGAAACAACCAAAGTTTTGGCACTTGGGTCGATAATCTGAAAAACATGTTCAGGATATGTGTTTATTTATGGGTTTTATCACATGACAGGAGAGATCAGCAGCAACAATCCATTTGGGTGATTCATATGAACCCCTGAAAGCGGACATCTGACAGTTAGGGAGTCACCAAACCTTGAATATCCAGAAATGTTCAGGGACCTGGGCTTTACGGCAAGTTTCTTTGATAGATGATTTTTTCAATCATAGACCGGCCCATAGGCTCGTGGGCTGCCCCCACATCAATGGTTCAATGGTATTCAATGGTTGGATTTCCCAACAACTTGGATTAGGGCCCATAAGATTCCGCAAATGCTGGGTAAACCACTGGGAGAATCCACAATTGCTTTGAGCAAGTACAGATCAGGTCCCTGTGGATCAAACAGTCCTGTACCAATTGATACCGAAGATTCTACTGTTTGTATATGTACATATGAGTGATGGAAGTAATGCGAGGTGTGAGAGCAAGGTTACTCTAAGCCTACAGTCATTCCATATAGCATAGTTTGCAACTTCATACAAGTTCAGCTTCACTAGGGCTGATATATGCATATACTACATGTAAATACCCAGGTCACATTAATTACATACTTATGCGTAGTTGTAGTATATACATGTATATATATATATATATATATATACATTGCTTCATCACTACCTATAACTTACACCCTTCGTATACTACCTACACATGTTTCACAGCGTATCTATATACGACTCAATGCATAGCGTGCCGCGTAGAGCTGCACAAACACTGCCCGATGTAGGACTGTTGTTGCTGGGAACCCCCCAGGCCACAGGGGGGAGGGAACCATCTGGCTGGGGGGTGGGGTGTGGTGATCCCTGCTCAAATATACATGTACATAATCATATATATATATATTATATATATTATATATATATTAATGATAATCATATGACTTTCCGTTTGTCCATAAAATATCATACATGGTTATGGTTCTATTAGTTCTATTTCCGTGTCTCCCAAAACTACAGAAACCCATCGGGGGGCACCGCGATTTCCTCTCCGTGTGCAGGGACAGGAGGCACCAACTACCGAGCCAAGAGAGGCGATGATCCGATGTCAAGCTGCCGTTTTTGGTACCCTACGGTAGCCGCCGTAAAAAAGACACGGTGGTAGCCTGATAAACCAGAAATGCCAGGAAATTGTCAAGAAACTAAGGATAGTTAGCTAGAATTTGATATTTTTTGCACAAACTGATGCAGATATTCCAGGAAAACATGGTATAGAAGCATTTGACAAGTACTGAGATTTGTTACAAATTCGAGTACCTTCGTCCCATTCTGGACACTCGTGGCATTCTCCGTACTTGCCAATAATCCCAAATTCTCCCGCATGACTGTGAACAAAATGCCATGTCCTCTGCCTCTCAAAGCCCAAATCACAGATGTATTGTTACCTTTCAAACAACTATTCCTGTCATACTTTTTCCAGAAGACCCCAAGTAATTAGCCCTGATTAGCACCCGTCGAAATCTTGTCTCCATCATCAATCTTTGTAGGTAGCAGGAGCCTTGTTGGTTCAACATCCTCCTCTTGACAGTTGAAGTTTTGAATGTCCTGTTGCACAAAGTTGCTTGGAGTCTGTTTGAATCCAATTTGTTCCCTAAATGGTTCTATAATGTTATATATACATATTTGTTCCCTAATTTTGTAGCTTGCCTTTCCCCATTTCCCAACTCCCGTTGTGGGCCCGTTGATCCCAGCAGGGCAGCGGAGCACCGAGGTCATCTTCAAGGCCACCTGCGCGATGCTTCGCACAGCGAGAGCCACGAAGTCCGGCTGCGAGTGCCATGAGACGTAGACCTGTCGGTGACTGGCGGACACCCCAGAGTAGGGCAAAACTGGGGAACTCACAGAGGAGGGAACAAACATGTTCACATGTATACATATATATATAGTAACTACAGCAAAGAGCCCCTTTCCAGCAGAAATTTTGTGATAAAGCAAACCATGGAAAAAATTGCGGATGCCCGAAATGACTCCAAATGTGTTCAGAGTTCTGCTTGGGGCTATCTGTCCTGTTTGCCACCACATGCATTGATTCGCATGAAAACTCTGTGTGTCCAGTTAAAATCCGTTAAATCCATGCAGCTTCAGCCCGTACCTGCAGCTCCCTAAGGACCATTTGCACATTTGTGTCATCAACCAACATCTCGATCACCTCGTGGCAAATGGGATATCGACACACGCTGTTTTTGGTATGTTTGATTGACACCATGACCTTGTGATCATGCAGTATGAGATCGGTGTATCTAAACAACAATGTGACAAGGGTGTCTCTATAAATATATATGATTATATTTGTAGATACCCCATCACCACTTGATGATGAAGTCCGACCCATCAGAATCAGTGCCGCTGTTTTTGAGCTTTAAAAGCTTTCAGGGAAGGTGTCCTCTTTGGCCAATTCTAGTGCAAAGGCTTTGTCCAAACACGGGGCGGGTATGACCTAAGAGTCCACTTTTTAATGGAGAATATGATGACAAACCGCGACAATGATAAACCATGGTACATCACCTTTATTACAGTATGTATTTATTATCATAGTTGCTCTTCAAATTCAACTATTAAACAAAAGTAATCACAACTAATATTATATATATATATACATATATATATATTGACTATGGACTATTAATATTGCATATTACGATCATTCCTATATGTTACAATTACATATTGTACATATTGTCATTACATACCCATCACTCCCGTTGCGCCTTCAGCTTCAAGCGCTTCATCTCTGGAGGGTCAAAGGACTGCGCACGACGCCCATGGTTGGGATGTCAACCAGGGGACATCAAACCGTCTTGAAACCATAGTAAGTTGGCTATATGGATATATTGTTAAGTAGAAACAGTATTAAGTAGGTTGAATATATTGTTAAGTATTGTGTAATTCATATGATTGGGATATTACTTTATACATAAGTGATCATAAGTGATCATAAGTGATTAAATAATGTTAAACTTGTAGAATCTGATGTCAACAACGCACAATTTCAACTGGTCGATTTTTTTTGCGATCCATCGCGTAGGCCGCTGCGCTGAGAGATACTGAGTGGGGAATCACAGTTGAAAACCGAATCCTTCTGCAGCTGTCCATTCAAAGAGGAGATCAACTGTTTTCGTTGGTTAAAACCAACAAAATTTGGGAGGGTTATGATCTAATAAGATTGATTTTCACCCAAACTTTTCCATAAAGTGTTCCACAAGTCCAGGGTCACTCATTCGCAATTTGACGGAGCATGTTGTTTTTCCTGATGTCCGATAACCAATCTAGGATAGCCATTAAAATTAGTCCTAATAATATATATATATATATTACACTGTATACGCTATATCTACTATAATTATATACGTATCTAATGACAATAGATTATTTAAGGCTTACCAAAATCAAAGAACCAAGGTCTAGCCAGATATTTGGAACCACCCTCCACCTGTATGAAGAACTCACGGATCATCGCTCTGAAGAGCTCCGGGCGAGCCTGGCGAGGTCGACAAACGTTGAGACAAACCCTGCAGGAATCAAATCTGGCTACAGAAAATTCAATTTATAAATTGCGTATAATTATGTGTATAATAAATAATTACATAATTAATAATTATATATAGTATACACATACATATATATAGTATACAGTATAAACATAAAAATCAAATAAAATAAACGATAATCATGTGTATATGTATATATATATATATATATTATACATACATATATATATATATATAATTATATGTACATATATATATAATAGATATCCACTTGATTCCAGTTGTATCCATTTCAGGTGCTCAGGTGCCTCCACCAGTGGCGCCACAGCTGAGAGCAGAGTGATGGATGCCTCTGGTGTTGCCTGTGGCCGATTGGAACCCTGCGGCATGGTCTGAGAATAGGATACCCTCTGGTAAACCAACAGTTGCCTCAGAGGGTACCCATCGTGTTTTTGACGGGAAACATTGATATGGACATACTGATATGTATTATGTTGATATACTGATATATTATTGGTTTAGATACCCATCAATAAGGGGCAAAACGCAATCCAGAGGATATACCTAGAAAATCCCAGCAACTATAGGATGGATGCTGTTCTGCTGCAGTATCCCCTACTCTTGGACAGACTCAAATGGCTATTTCGTGGCTATCGCTCAACAATGGTGCCAATGGAGCCCAACAAAACACACGGCTTCGGTGCTGAAGCATGGCCTGTCGCAAGCACCGCATCAGCGGCATGGCCACGCAACTGATCTCCTGGTTTCACCCATCAACAGCCGGAGCCCCAAACCAATGATTTCACCCATCAACAGAAACTAACAGAATCAAAATAAACAAAAAGTGAAAAATCATCCAATCATCCAAGCCAATTTAGGTTCCAATGATCATCCAAGAGAGTTGCAGGTTGTGCCTCTGTAGGCGCCAAGTAACAAAGAGCTACAGCTGCTGCCAAGGTCACACCTGAAATCACTGGTGGCACAAAAACATAGTTAACTGGTCTCAACGGACATCTTCTAAAGAACACGTCTACAAAACAAACTCTCGGGACCTGTCGCAACTTATTGTGCTACGCACGAATTGAATGTTTTGATCTGTAGATGGAATATCATGAAAGCTCAAGCTAAATGAAGCTTAGCCAGCTACACACTTTCCAAGCAACCCCACACCACAAAGGTGCTGGCCTTTGCTGGCTGAGAACAGCAGCAGCTTTAGATTCTTTAAGAAAGCCAGAAAGTCCTGGGCTGTCAAAACCGAAGGGTACACCTTGGTGAAACCAAAAAAATGCTGCTAAATGATGGATGTTCATCCCCCACACGATTGTATGAGGGTATTGATCCATAGCCAAGTGTATGCACAAATCACTTCTAAGTGGCATATGGCCTAAATATGCCTAACTATTTGAAGCTGTGACTATAGACCAACCATTTACAGAAAAGACTCTGCATGCCCATCTACCGCTATCCAAGAAGAATCTTGGATCTAATTTCAGCAGCGGCCCTCCTTAAACAGATATTCAACACTGAGGGCTTCCTATCGGTCTCAGCCAGGGTCGACATGTGGACAGTACAGTCCTCTGAGGTACCACCCGTTGCACCTGGCTGGTGACTCGTACCCTAAACATGAAAATCCAGATCCAATGGCAGAATTGGAATTTGATGTCCGAAAATTGGCACCTCAATTCATGGCAATTTTCACGACAATGATGAGAAACCATCAAGTTTGATCAACATTGGGGCGTCCTATTTTCAGACGCCAAACCATTTCTGCGGGAGTATTCAGTGGGAAAGCAATGCTGGAAATATGATGCTGGGCACTAAACTACACCAGAGCTTGGGCCGAGAAAATGTCAAGAGTCTTAGATTAAGTCCCAAACTTGAAGCTGGGACATGCTGGAACCATCAATCAATCAGGGAAGAAAACTGGAAATTTACGCACTGCACCTATGGCATGCCTTGTGCCCAATTCCATCCGGAAAATACAAATGCCTGTGGTTTTGCTCTCGCTCGGGGAATCAAATATACAGATGTGAAGTGATTAAGTGATGTATACTATTGTACCTGTTGAAGACTCGGTCACTTCTAGACCTAGAGAGAATATTGTCGAAGGGTGCTGGAATGAATGCAAGATAAACACAAAACACATATATGCTTCCTGAATCCTGAATATGCTTTCCCAGATGCCATCACAAGCTCTCGCAGATTTTCAGCAAGTCACGAGGCTTCGGCCGTGAAATCCTTTACAAAGGTGTACTACAGTGTACACAAAATGCCAATACGCAGCCAGTGCTTTGCAACAAGCCACTGATCAGCGCAGTAAACACATTTTGCCAGAGTTCCCCCTCCAAGTGGGTGTGTCCCAAAACGGACTATACCCCCTACAAGGCACATTTTAAAGCGGACACATGACGTATGATCAACCCAGGTTTAGCTTGGGAGATGTTAGGGGTATACCCCATTTTCAGATCTCACCCAATGGACAGGTGTTCAACCCGTTTAAGAGCTGAACAAAAAAACACAACGGTTATAGCTCCATGAAGCTCCAGCAGGTGCTCGCTAAAAGCAAACTGCACCGCATTCTTTCAGCTTAGCCTGGCGCAATTGTCCCACGCTCCGGTGTCACCCTACAGTCTGTATACATGTGTATATATATATATATACACATATATATATATATAACTGTGTATATATATATATATAGACATTTGTCTACATACATTGTGGATATACACATATATTTGTATATATTTGTTCTATATACAACAATATGATAATGCACAGTACTGAATGTATATATATATAATGCTATATTTAAATAGATTGGAGTACATGTATGTACATACCCATGAAACTGTGTCGTCAAACACAATCCACAAACACAATACACAATCCCGTGTGAAGTTCATTCTCTGACTGCTGGTCCAGCCCATTACCCCGTTGAACATGCCAACAGCTAGACAGTAGACGAAGTTGAGATCCTCATCTCGTCATACTTGTCCGCATTTAGCATATTCTGCCAGGCTTAAACCAATGTCCAAAATAAATCAAAACCATACCCATCTGAGCTGTTTAGGCCCCAAGACCCATAATCCATCATCCATCAAACCAGCCACACCGGTGACACCTGCGTCTTTCTTTTCAGCCTGTTGTTGAGATTTCTCACGAACGCTTCCAAGTCCTTCAAGCTCCTCAGACTGCCACAAGGCGCCACTAAAACTGACGAGTCGATGTGTACTTCCTCAGGTTTCAAAATATAGCAACCGGCAAAAAGAAAGGTAAGATCCATCCGATTCTAGAATAGTTTTCCTATCTTCGGAATTCTACTCGGATGGGTATCATATCGCAAAAATATCTCAAAATTTCATCCACACCTATCTTGGTGATTCTTGATATTCTTGATATTCTCAATGCAGGCACCAAGCTGCGCTTCTGCAAGGTGGCAAAAGTCTGTGAACATCCCCTCGATCCGCAGGAAGGTCGTCAAGAAGAATGTAATGATGAAGGCCTCGGTCGTTTGAAGATCTGCCAGACCTGGCAGACCTGGCAGACCTGGCACCTGAGGCTCCCACCACTAAGGTCGTACCGTAGAAAGCGTACTTGGCCAGTTTGTCCTGTGGCGATGATGGCCATTATGGCCATGGCTGGCTTGGCTTGGAAGAAACCATGAGGTCCACCCTTTGTTGCAGGGGCGTTTGTTGATCCTTGATCTTCCTTGATCTTTCACTGCTTTCATATGCTTTCATATGCTTTCTTTCCCATCACCAACCAGAATTGCCACGGAATATGGTAGACATTGGTAGACTGTCCCATCATCCCATCATCCAATGGTGAACCCGGTGAACCCTCCTCGATCGCTTCCATGTACCCAGCAGCTGTCAAGAATACCTCAGAGAATCCCATGATCCCATGATCGCCACTGAACCATCAAAAACCTTGTCATCAAAAAAAAATGATGGCGGGTGCCATAAGGATCACATAAAAGGATATAACATATATAACAGGATCAAAGACATTGATTCTGAAGGCTTCTGGCTTCTACCGCATCTATATCTAGCGCAAGTGGCACATATTTTGTTTGACATACTCTGACTCCTAATGGTCACAAGTCCGTTTTGGGCTATGTTTTTGCACATGTTCACGAATCGTTCCTTCCATGTTTTAGATTGTTTCAGTACGTAACCATGTGGTCACACATAACCACCACAGGCATCCTTTCGGCTCTGCAAGCTTGGGAGCACAGGGTGGAGTTGGGATACAAGTTGCCAACTCGGCCATAATAAAAACGACCAAGAGGACCAGCGGATAGTAATGGGACCTTGTTTCAGCGAGTCGCATGCGTGGTAGTGTCACAATATTTTGCTGCAGAAGATCCAAAATGAATCAAGCATCGATTCTCAAGGCATTCTCGGCACCACTGACCAGAACGACTTTGTTGAATTCACGAGAAGATGCCAGGCATTTGTCTGAAAATAGGTACCCCAAACCCACTGGTGAATCAGCACCATCCCCATAACTATGTCAGCAACTAAGTCCATTTTGGGCGTATACCGTATACCGTATACCCCAATTTCAGACAAATCCTGCTGGAATCTTCATCATTGACTTCCTTCTGTCTGCCGAGCGAACTGCAATCGACATCTGCTGAATCATGAAGCCAAACTTCTTTACATATCAGACATATCACTTCTACATCAACGGAATACCATTGACAATGATGAACTGAATACTGTCAACTATGTTATTATGTTGCAGTCTTTACCGATATGATAATCATGGGGCTTTCCATGGTCATGGGGGATCCCCAATAGCTGGTTTATTTCATGGAACATCCCACACTGGGGCCATGGATGATGACTGGGGCTACCCCCTTGACTTGGGAAACCTCCACGGATGGCCATGGCCAGGGCCAGGGCACATCCGCTTGCAGAAGTCGCCTTGCTGCTTTAGCGCATCCAACAACTGGTTATGATTGTCTTCCAAGTCCTGGAAGAAACAGCCGGGAGTCTCTTCCAACACTTTGTTGGACCAACAATGGTCAACTGCAGTTAGCCTCTGGTAATTTGTTACATAACTATTGAACATGGCCCATTTATAGTTGATTTACCCATTTAAAACATGTGATTTTCCAAAGTTATGTTGGTTTACGGGTAGTATGAAACCATACTAACCCATATTAAACCATCCATTTGGAGGGGTTGATACTTTGACCCAAACGATGACACGCCCCGATCTCTCCGATCTCTCGGATCTCGTCCTCCACCTCTTCCCGCTCCATCAGGTGGATCAAACTAATCTGGTGGAACAACCCCTCTAACCTGCCATGGATCCATGGTCGACAAGTTACTGCAAGGTGAAAGGAAAAAACATGAAAAAACACCTTAAGCAATGATTTGATGAAATGTGCAGAATGCACATATCTTTTTGCATATGTTCAATAATACACAACAATAGACACATCACATACATGATATATGTAGATCTCTCATACGTATGCCGCCTTCCGACGTTGGAGAATTTTCCCAAAGTCCCCTACCGCAGTGGGCAATCTGGGCGCCTATTGAAGAGCGAGGCAAAGAAGGCTGCCAGAATTCCAATGATCCTGGGTCACTGTCATCCCTGGGGCTGATGGTTGAGGATGCTCCCTGTAGTTGTATGAAGTTCTACGATCAGATTAAATGGACACCCCGTCCTCAACAGCTCGGTTTATGGGGATGACAAAGACCTGCTATGTGGCTGCATGTGCTGTTTGTTGCCACATCTGCTCCATAGATTCAATAGAAAAAAAAGAACCGCTCTGGTCGGTGTGGGGTGACGGTTCACCTCTCAATGCATCCTTTTGGCACAAATAGCGACATCCATTTGGTATTCCATTCGGTATTCCATTTATATCTATTTACGTATTGGCTTTGAAAAAGCAAGTGTGCACTTCGTTTTTCCTCAATCAGTGAGAAAAGGACACCTATAAAGTGTGATCGACATAATACAAAGAACAGTTTACATTTACATTCAATTATAACCTAGGCAAAATATCCTGGTTCCCACTAGTAAATTGGAATTCAGCCATTTTGCGGGTGAAACCACTACTATTCGTAAGATCGTAGGTTTTCCATGCTTTTCCCATCCATATTGATATGATTTGATATGTCTCAAAATAGGATACCCACGTTTTACCCCCTAAATGCAATGGTTCATCGTCATTTTGCCACAAAAAACCACTGGCCTGATAGGACAAGGTTCGTCACAAGCCCAGCACAGGACACCACCAGGTCCGTCCGAACCGAGGTCTGAGCAATTTCATGTGATGTCGGGGTATACCGATATACTCCATTCTTGGACAAACCCTGACTCCAAAGTCAGAACTAAAATGGTGGAATGAAATGGAAAATTCACACCTCTCCTGCGAAAATAGTATCCTGAGACTTTCGCAACTTCCTAAGAAATTAACTAGTATCTACAGATATCTACATCTACAAAGTGGTGCCACTTGTGAGCAGGTCAAGCTTGCTCCATGGGGCCATATGGGGCCCATGACGGTGCCGTGGTCCCCATGCCAGGTCACCCAGTGTCCGCTGGCTTTCAAGGCAAGGACCTGATGGAACTCGTGGGATCTGGGAAAAACCAGGTCGCCTGGTCGCCTGGTCACCTGGTTTTCACTGCTTATGATGCTGGTGATATGATAGTTTACTACATATATGTTATGTATATATATATTAATTATTGTAATATAATATATGCTAAACATTGTTAAACTATATGACTACGAGTACCACATATTATATAGATATTACCAGAAATATGATGTCTCAACTCCCTGGTGTCTATCCTCCGGATGGTCCCAAGGCATGACATCCACCGTGCTAATGAGGAGCAGATTGGGGGTTTCCATTTTCAGATACCCAAAATGGATGGCTTATAATGGACAATCCTATGAACATTTTAGTTAAAATGGATGATTTGGGGGTACCATGGGGTACCCACATTTTCGCAGCCTCCATATCAGACTTATTCCGCTACGCCGTTGCGGTCAACATGGGGCAGTAAATGCATCTTCCAAGTTCATCCCTACCAAAATCATCCAAATGGGCCAAATGGGTGTACAAGCAAAGTTGGAGAATTGCGATTTAGAGTAATCCATCCATCTGTTTCTGCTTCTTGCTTAGGCCATGAATTCATGGACGGATGTGGGAGAAGTGCCTCAATCCCCACGAAGCCAACAAAAAAGGCGAAGGGAAAGCAATAACCTCAGGCAAAATGGGCTTCAAATACACCACTCTGATGACCAGATACCCTAGGGGCAAATTACTGTTCGTGTAAAGAAGGAAGGCTCCATCTATGGTTGTCGATCCTGGAGTATATGGCCAACAACATGCCTCCCGCCAGCCTTTGGATATCATGACACACCCGGTATATCCCAACAAACTGGCTCTCCATCATGCAATGACACAAGAGTTGCCATTGGATAGCATCAGATCTGCTTCAGCATCACTCTTTGCATACATGAAACGTGCGTCTGAATCTTGAAACAACAAATAACAAGTTCACCTCAAAATCGAGTACCAACCAATAGCTTGATGATAACTCATGGAATTGAACCACTGATAGGTGCTCCAATCCTTACGAATCGACTCAGTGACTCAAGTCCAGTTACGAAGTTCCTCCGCTTTTCCACTGATTAACAAAAACACGATCTGTTTCAAGACACTCCCACTGGCCATCACTGGCCATGGCCTTATCCATCTATGGGGGGAGTCTATCTGGGAGATCACGAAGTGAAAATGCGAAAGGGAGTTATCCGGCCTCCGGGCCTCGCCCTGAAAGATCTGAAAGGTTCATGACTCACATATGGCTATGGGTCAAAAGCTTGTACCCCTGGTGAACCTCAAAATAGCTTGTAAATAGATGTTCATCCCACTAAAATTGATAGTAATAGGTTTTGACCCACCCCCATATCTGAACTGGAAATTCTTGTATTTGGCACCAACAGGAAATTCTGGTATCCTCCGCTAATCAAACATGGCAATGGACATTCAATGAAATTCCCCGGATGCATCTCCCATTAAAATATGTTGACACCATTTAAAACCTCTACTTATAATTAATCATGTATGGGCAATTCCCCATTGCCATGTTTTCATTGCCCTTTGGATACATCTTTGAAGAACTTCTCAGCCAGGGAACTCCATTTGCCCAGAAAGGGCAGCGATTGCACCTGCAGCTGTCGCAAGCCACCGTACATGTCGCGGCTTCGGCAGCTTTTTCAACCAGCGTGGCGGTTGTTTCAAATGTGTGTCGGTCGTGAGTGATTGGGCTGTAGCAACGCCCAAATAGTTAGCAAAAATGGCTAGAAAAGTTGGATGCCTGGAAATTACATAAAATTATGAGGCAAGGATACTTTACGATATCATGAGAAGAAAAAAACATGTCACTATCTGGTTTAGGGCATTCCAGACTTTATCCTAGTATAGCTTAACGGTCCGAAAGCTGAGGCAATTTCAATCAGTACAATAGCTGGGTGGCTATGAGTGGCCACTGCAAGATTTGACTGTGAGCGGCACACTCCTTTCCGAGACAGCCGAAAGTCTGCGGTACAACAACTTGGAAGGCAAAAGAGCAGGAGCTCTGGATATGCTGTGGCTGTGAAACATTCTCAAAAATACGCAGTCTGCCAGACAAATGTATTCACTCTATTTTGGAGGACAATCAATGGGCACACATCGCAAAGTGCCCTTGTACACATTGCACACGTGCGTATACATTGGTAAATACGCAGTTATCCGTCCACTCTAACTACACACAAACAGTGTGCAAATATGTATGTATTTATATACATGTCCACTTACATTTCATATACAATGAAATAATATATGATAATAACATGCTATCATGAAATCTCATAGTTGCTCCTAGCAGCTTGCTTTCCCTTGAACGCATGAATCACCGGTCACCCAAATCTGGACCCCCCAATTGGATTTCACCCCAGTGATGCAGCCTTCTTCTCCCTCCTGCAGGACTGCAGGATACGAGTTGAAACAGTGGCTGGTGGCTGCAGCCCCAAAAATATGGCTGCCATGGGGGGAAAGCAAAGGATGTCACTGATGTCACTGGGACATTAAGCAGGCCAAAGTGGTACCTCACCAGCAATTTTCAATATCTGGAATCTGAACATCGTTTTCTTTAGATAAAAGGAAAGTGGATGATGTGCTGCGTGGACCGATCATGTGTTTTGCCTAGCCTAGCAGCTTAGCCCCGTCGTAGGCGGCATGGGGCTCTCTGCGTAGGCGCTTGTTGATTTTATACCATTGCGCACGCTGAGCTGCCAGCGGCTGACTTCTGCATGTGCGGTCAAAAAGCTTGCGTAGGCCATCGCGTAGGCATTTTTGACACGTGCTTCCGCATAGGCTACCTTCCACCCCATGGGCCTGTGCACACACTGCGTAGGTACCCTAAGTTAGTGCATAGGACCCAAGCACCCAATAGCACCCAAACAAACATTACTCATCTGTTAGTTTATGCAATGATTGGATCTGGTTGGTGGTTTGAGACACAAACATACGAAGTCTTTGACCAAGCAAATTTTGGTGCAAGATGGCAATGTCTTCAAATTGAGCATCTTTCAAATCCACCCCAATCGGAAGCTACATGCCCAATCTTTGGACATCCGTGGACAAACCATGACACACCCATGCATGCATGTACAAGTTGTTTTTTGTCGGAAGTTGAACCTGAAGAGTTTGAGCTTCGATAGTCTGGTCCCGAGTCTACAATGGCTCTAAATTGTTCATGTACCACACATGTTTTACGTACCTAAGCCCAGTGGCAGCTTCAATCCGAAATGTTTGCCATTTGGGAATCGTCTCATTCTTATCATGGAACCATGATACGTTTTTTCAAGAGGAATGTATATATATATATAATTATGTATATATATATAATTATGTGTGTATATATATATGTATGAGATATATATATATATATATATATGTATGATATATATATATGTATGATATATATATATATATATATGTATATCAATATGTATGATATATATATATACATATATATCCGTAGAATCAGTAGTAACTACGAGGCTCTAACAAAAAAAAACAAAATAATATGTAAATGTAGCCAGTAGCTGCTCTTCACAGACCCACACTACCCCACTGTCGCCACCTGGGACGTCTTGTCCGGGCTGGCGAAGAACAGGCGGCAGTACCTCCCATCCATACACCATGTTTCTTATGGATATATAATGGATATATGGATATATGATATATGATATATGGATATATGATATATGATATAGGTCAAAGTTTAAGACCTGGGGGACCAGAGATTTTAGTCTATGTTTGGTCTTAACCAGCTGATGCTTGGGGTACCCACTTTTGACCCAGACCCACAGCTATTGGTTTTGACAAGACTGGATGATTAATGCGACCAGCAAACAATTCTCCTCTATCTTCTCTTAACTAGGGTTACCCATGCTTACCCTAAACTGGATTAAACTGGTTGTCAGGACCTCACACTTCGACGTGTATTCAAATATTATGGTGGAAAAATAGCCAGCAAGATAGGTTCTCACCACCATATATTATATCAACGTCCTACTTCCAATAATTCAGAAAAAATAAATGAGTTTAGGATAAAGCAATAATTTCCATCCGGAAATTCAACGTAGTCATGGATCACCATGTGTAATTGCTACATCATCTGTATATAAACGGGCCATTTTCAATAGCTATGTTAGTTTACTGGAGGGAAACCATTGACTCTTGCAGGTCAAACAGTGAAGACATCCATGGGTCCTAAGTGAGGCAGCGACTGAATTCCTCCCTGCCTCATTAGCAGGTCAATGCAGCATTGCTGCCTCAGTGGAAAGACACTGTATAAGCACGGCGTTTACGCAAACTCTCTGATCACGCACACACACGCAAATATATATATATATATATCACACACATATATAGATCTATATATATATATATACACTATATACGACATAATATAATCTAAATATCATTAAATATCATATATATATAATGTATTACATGTATTGTCTACAGAGTATATGTAGTATCACATTAGATATCATATGTGATACACCACAGAGTATACGTTATACATTATACATTGTACATTAAAATTTCATATTAGAATTTATATGGTATTATACATATGATAATATATATATGCACACAATATATATATAAACGTGTTAGCTGTATTATATTACATTTCATGTGATGTATGTATATATATATATATCATATCATAACATATCATATCATAAGAAATAATATATACATATTTATATCATACACTACCTTATTTGCTGCACCCTTGAAAACACATCTGAAAAAAATACAATGAGGATATATCAAAAAATGTTGAGAATGTTGTTGAGAATGTTTTTGCTCAAGATCGGGTGTAACCAAACATACAAGGACTGAGGGCCGCAAATATCAACCATGATCAAGATAGGATGCTCTCTATATAGAAGGATAATCAACATAAGATTGCCAGGAAATCTTCAAATGTTGAAACCCATGTGTCTGATAGAACTTCTGGAGCAGTGACTCGGCTTCAGCAAATGCATGGGATCTTTGGAAAATCTCTAAAACATTCTTAAATAATATTTAATTTAACATAACTTAACATAATTTGACATAGATTTAACATATATATATATAATATGATATATATATAATAATATATATATAATATATATAATATATAATAATATATATATAATATATTATAATATTAATTCAATCACCGAAAATCATGAGCCCAAAAGTCATCCACCCACTCCGACTCGGGTTTGCGACGCCCAAAAGTCCATCAGCAACATGTCCTGTGGTCTGGGTGAAATTTTAGGGGAAAACTACCATCTGGTTATTTAAATGGAAATTTAAATGGGAAAATCCATTATAAATCTGGGGAAAATACATAAAACTACCATTTTAGGGGAAAATCCATTATAAATGGAGGTTTTAATGGGAAAAATCATCTGTAAATGGGCCATTTTCCATAGCTATGTTGAATAACCAGAGGGTAATGGCTGTTTAGAACCTCATGTTCCCCATGAAAAGTGGTGATTTGGAGGGATAGCCTAATTTCAGAATGGTTCCTGTTCCTGTGGACTTTCTCTTAGTCCAATTCCGAAATTCCATTTAAGAAACGAAGAAACACATGACGTCTGAATACACCAGCGTGGGTTTGAATTGTGAAGTTCCTGAATGACAGGTTGAACCAAGTTGAGCCATCTGGACATCTCAAGCCACAGGGGGATCACACATGTTGATCTTCTTTACCTGAAAACTATCCAATATTATCCATTATTTGGAGTTTATGATTTTGTATCTGAAACATGGTGCAGCAGTACATTACCCCGGCCATCCTTCTTTGAAGTACACCTAGTCAGTCTCAAATCCATTCAAATCCAGTCTCAAAAAAGTCATCATGATCATCATGTGGGTGTGTCTGAAAATAGTGTATCCCTAAACCCAATGGTTTTGCTGATCATTATCCCGTTTTTAAATGGCTATTTGTTTCAGACAAACCCATGTGATTCTCACTTGGATTTTCCGTCATTTTCCAATGTCTCCATCTTTCTCCAGGCCTGCACCAAGCGCCTGAAGAGTGGATGTAGCAACTCCAGTTGCTGAGCCTTGGTGAAAAATCACAGAGGACACCTACAGCTAACCCTACCAGGGTAGTTTAAACATGTTCGCCCCAACCCGGATGTTGTTCCACACTTACAATCGTCATGATCATCATCATCATCATCACCACCATCATCACAATAAAATTTGCCACCCCCTATGAACAATATGTTGGTTGGGATAATAACATCAACTTTATCTTCATAGCCACCTGAAGTCAGACGCGGCGCAACATCAGGGTTGCAGCGAACATGTTTAAAACATGTTTAGACCATGAAAATCTTGGTTTCACTTTTCCCATCCTGGTGGAAAAAAAGGAAACTCTTGATGGATTTCGTGGGTCTGCAGGAGCTACGACGCAGGACTTGGGGCCCACCGCATTCCATGAAGACTCTGTGGTTTCTGCTCCTGGCTCCAGCGCTGGGAGCGTCCCTCACATGGATATCATTTCTGTTCACCGGGATATAGTGGGATATTGTGGGAATCCTTGGGGAATATAGTGGGATATAAATAGTCGATAACCAACCACTTTATTTGGGTATGGCTCAAAGCTGGAAACAGACCGTCAGGTTTCCTGTACTTGTACTAGACTTAGATGATCAAAGTCTCAGGATGCCTATCCAACTTAAGGTGAATAATGGTGAGCCATACCAACCGTTACCAACCCATGGTGCTACTTGGATCCCAGCCTTGCTTCTCCTCTGCTGCATCCTGCAGGTGGCCAAGGTATCTGGAGCCCGAGGATTGGTACTTGGTACCCTTCAGCAATGGGAAAACCAAGACGCTTCAGTCGGGCAATCCCCAAATGTCTTTCCAAACATTTCCAAACATGTGGGAAATTGGGGTATAACATGGTATAACCTAGTATAACCATGTCCATCCATTTCCAGCCCCCATATCCCGGAGCTTTACAAAACCTGTCCTTCGGCAGCACGATGCAAATCTGGCGAAAGGCCATGACAGCACTCCCAACCACTTGCACCTGGCATGCTCAGGATTTGCGCTTCCAAACATTGTCCCCCCCCAAAAAAAAAACGACAATTTACCTGGATAAAACAACCAATGAGAATGTAAAAGACTGGAAGACATCCAGTTCAAGTGATGCTTGGTCTTTTTGCCAGCTGTGTCTTGAATTCTTGCGCTGAGGCCCCAAAAATTGCAAAGACTCTGCGGTTGAAGTGATTGATGATCATTGATGATATGATTTGGGCCCCAACCTCCACGTCGTTCATCAACTTCAGAAGAAGTTTCCTGGGGAACAAGCAGTCCGGATGCGACGCAAGCTGCACCAGTGAGATGGTTTGATGAGCTGGAAATGAAGCCTCTGAAGTAGATCTGGCCTTTCCATGTTCCTTTACTTTCCAATCTGACATAGCACAGATGTGAAAACCGTCTCAAGCTTAGGGATGACCACTAAAGAAAGACATATATCATATCATAATATTGTATCGTATTGTCGGTATCATATAATATTATATATCAGGCACGTCTTGTCCTGCCAGATTTTTTGACCTCCAAACACAGGCACTTGAGGCTCTGAACCCTCTGACATTGGTTCCAATCCCCACATTTGAATCCATTGAGAGACAATTACCCCATCAAAACACATGGGGGTTTCCTAATGGCTGGGGGTAGCCAAAAAAATCATCCAAGTCATGGATGACCATGGTGACTTGGGGATCCCCCATGACTTAAGAAACCCCCAAAATAGGGATTTCCCAACCAGCCAGGATAGACTATCGATGGTTTTGGCTGCTGTCCTCAATTCGAGGAACTGATCTGCGTCTACACCATACACCTGCCGATAGTGAGCTTGGCCGTGGATAGCGGAAAATGAAACGCATGCGAACCATAACCATTATTCATAATTTGTTTTTCCCTAGTTTTGAGCTACTTTGTCCATCATCATGAGATCTACCCATCAGATTGATCGTTTCTGGGTCATCTATGAGTCAAACTATGGGTATGGTATGGGTCAACATCATGGACCCTCAAGTCAGGGACTGGTTTGATACTACACATGAAGAATTGTGTGCATTTCAATTGGTCAACCCATGGTTCGACGCATTTCAGTATCCAGCTGGTTGCTACACCCATCGACATACTGTGGATGGACAAAATCCTGCACCAGTTGGTAACTATTGGGTAGCTATGAAACACTGTATATAAATGATGGGATTACATTGGGATAAGCACGCATAGACCATTTACCAGCTGGTGCAAGATTTCTTCCATCCACAGTATTAAGAGTCTCCTGCCTTGATCATGCATTGTGCCGCAGTCTTTCGCACATATGGGGAACCTCGCGAAAACCCCGCTGGTCTTCTGGGCACCAAACTCACATGATTCATGGATTGGTTTAAGGGAAAATTTAAGGTATATATTTGTTTACTAAATACATCCAAAAACATCTAAAACCATCTAAATATCTATGGTTTTTACTATGTTTGCCCCCTCATTTCCCTCCTCAGATGCCGACTATCACCAACAGCTGTCTGCACCGCTGCCATCACCAGCTGAATGACCTGCTCCATCCCATGGGAACCCATGAGAACCTTTCCGCGCTATCATTTCGTGGCCCAGCAGTTTCCAATTTGGTATGTAGATGTACGGTTTCTACATGTGTCTACTGTGTATCTACTGGATAGCTGCATTTCAAAGATGTAAAAGATAATAAGCTGAGACACGAATGTGCAGATATCGTAAATGGATAGAATCAGAAGGCACAACCTTCGGATCACCCCATAAGAACCGTCTGAGTCTTTGCCACTTATTCAAACAAACCTCATCTCTGCATATGCTCAAACCTGTGGATTTTAAGCATCAAATATTTTCCATCTTTGAGTCGTTCAAGTGAGCAGTTGCAAACCATGCCAAAATCATGGGGTAGGGGTGGGGGCTATGGGGTTGGGGCGCTGAGCTTATATTAAGTCCTGATAAGGCTGTAAAATGATAAACCCTTGTTAAGGTCTTATGAACCCTCTTATTAGGGGCTTAAGGAGATATCCTTTAAGGCCGGCCTTACTAAGCTATGATTCCCCATGATGTGGGTCCAGAGAGTCCCTTTTTTTTGGGGGGGGGCTGTGGTCAAACAGGTTAGCTTTTTTTGCTTAGGGCTTGCCCAAGGCTGATAATACAAGCCTTGAACAAGCCTTGAACAAGCCTTGAACAAGCCCTTAAGTCTTAATAAGACCTTAGCCCCCCAACCCCCCAAAATCAGATCAAGTCACTCTTGGACCTCCCAAACTCGCAATGAAAATCCAGAATCTCATATTTCTTTCTGAAAATGATAATCCTTGCTTATCCATAGCTTGTCCAGGCTTATGTATCCAGACCCGCCCATAGCCCCCACCTCTATCCCATGAAAAAACTATCTGGACAATGGCTATATAATAATTATAATCATAACATTATACAACAATTTTTTTGATAACCACTAGTAAACCAGTACATAGTTCCTTGTTCATTGGGGAGATACAACTGTTTACTCCGTTTACGGCTCCCTCTTAATATTCATTAAACCAGAAAACCCCCATAGTTGTGAGTAGATCCATGAACCATATAATTTTGAATTGTATATACTGTATATATATATATGTATAATAAGCATAGCTATAAAATAAATATAGATATATAGGAACTAAATATTAACATTCTAAATTATAAAAACATATCACCTGGGGAAAGCCAACATAGATGTGGAAGATCCATGGCTTCCATAGTAAAAAATAATCTACATTCAGCCAAGGTCTTCACATCCAGGTTAGTTTACAGGAGGGTATATAATCAGAATCACCAACAACATTCCACATATCAACGGCCATTTCAGGAGCCTAAATTGGAGGTACATAAACATATATAAGGCCTACTTTAGGGCTATGTAAGGGAATATCCCCACAAAACATGGCAACACATATGGTAGAGTACCTCCATTCTAGGATCCTGAACCATATATATATACTGATATATTATATATATACATACAATATACAACCATATAATATAATATAATTATAAAACATTATAAAACCCATATAATATATAATACATGCATAGCCAATAACCAGCAACAAAATATAAAAACCATAGTAAGCAGGCCTCCAGCACCTTGATGGATGCCATGGCTCTCAGAGCTGAAGCACGCAGTTGCTGCGATCGATCTGAAAGGTCCTTGGGGGCTGTGGGTTTCACCGTGTTTTGGCACCTTTAAATTGCCATGAAAAAGGGGAAACAATAAGGGAAAGTGTGATGAAAAGACCATAACTGTGAGATGTGATAAAACCATATATTGAGCTATATTGAGCTATCCAAGTTGGTGGGTAAATGACCTAGATCCCTACGGAAATGGGTTTGTCCCTAGATGTCTTGTCTGCAAGCATTGAGTCTTATTATGTAGTACTAAATCATGTTTGTCATATCGTGATTGTAGTGTGACAATTGCCGGGGAGAATTACAAAAAAAAGTAAACTCTGATTGGTTGGATTGACAGGATTGAAACTGGACGGAATGACATGGAATGACACTTTTTTGTGGATCACAAATTATATCCATGAAACTGATTTATTTTCTGGGCTACAGGTCAAAATTAGATAGCCTCATTGATAAATCAATTATATATATATATATCCTCCAGCAAAATTATGGATGTTTATTTTTTTGGGTACATGGTACAGGTCAAAATTAGATACCCTCTGGTAAACTAACATAACTATGGAAAATCACCATTTTTAATGGGAAAATTCACTATTAATGGTCATTTTCAATAGCTACGTTAAATTACCAGAGGGTAGCCTCCAACAAGGCTAACATGGCTAACATGGCTGGACAATCCCCCTCCCCCGTAGTGACCTTCTGGAAGCTGTTGATCGACAGAAGCGCAAGCTCGCGGTTGTTTTCCGCATACTGCGCAGTGCAAAACGACGAAATGAAATATATATATATATATCAACCATCCAGCTTAGAAATTTACGGGATTCCGAGGTGGTATGTTTAGATACATATTGACCATGATTTGTCCACATCCACCCAAACAATCACACGTCAAATGAATACATCAATACATGAATGGCATGAATGAAACAGAATTCCAAACGCCTGGACCAGATAGATGTAGATCAATTTTTTCAGCTCAGGAGACCTTGAATGGCAGCTGGCCGAAATCAATGGCTTACTAGTTCTCCATCTGTGCAATTGCTCATACGACACAGGGCAGGCGATGAATTATATAACCTCCCCCAAATTCACATAGACCTTGAAAGTAGCAAATTTTGATGGAACATGATGGAAAACAATCTTGTAACTCTTCCAACCCCCTATTCGGCAGAGTCTATGTTAGTTGGATTGCTGGTACCCCACCTTGGTTTCCCTGGATCACTTGAGTCTGGCCAACATGCTTCGCCTACAATTCAGCACAGCAACACCCTCAGGCTCTGGCTGGAAGGAGACGTTCTTGACCTCAGTTCACAGGGATGCAAGCCTAGTTGGTGCGGCATTCCAACCTCGGATCAAAGCATCAATGATTGTTCTTAACGTTTCCTCTATCCAGCTACAACATATCATTAGGAACACATCTCTGAGTATCTATGATATGTTACAGTTGATTTGTGTAAGATTATACATATTATGTATATTTAAGTATATACAAAACAAAACATAGAGGACTCAAAGAATACTGATGTCACTTCCTTACGGAGGCTGTAATGGTGGGCTGTCTCTCTGTGAGTCCAAGGTCAACTTGCCATGGAGGACGTTTCGTATGTGTCGTGATAGCTACTGTGATCAGGGTAGATTCTACACTGCCAAAAACGGATTCAACGGCATCAAATTGCTGTATACGAAAGTGGTATCATGATTTTATGTATTATGATCTTATGGCTCACCAAAACTTTAAATGTGACCTCGATGTATGAAAATTACCCTCCGGTATTCTAAAATAGCTACAAGTATGGAACATGGCCCATTTATGTGTTTTATTCCTATAGAAAATAATGTGTTTTTTTTTCATAGCAATCTGTGAAATTATCGACCAGATGGAAAATCTCCATTCATCAATTCATTCAATCCATGAATTATCCATTAATTATCCATTGTTTATCCATTCTTGTTGGCTATACAGTTCTACCCCCGATGTAACCCCCGTGTTGCAACCACCAAACACGCGCCCACAGCGCTTGCGTGCCCGACCACGTCAGGGAACAGCGCGCTGGCATCGCGGCCCACAGAGACAGCCGCTAAGAGACGCCTAAGGGAAACGGGTGATTGGGGGGGTTTACCCAAGAAACACAAACAAACAAAAGGTAGTACCTCAATGATTAAGTGCCAAATACTACGAAAAAAACCATGTATGATATATGATATATGCATCATAAACCTTAGTTGTTGGAGATATACCACTAGCATTATACAACTACAGATGGATCATACACATTCACAAAGCCTAGCTATCGGAGTTACATATACCAACTAAGCTAACGAACTAGGGACCTTGCATGTGGAGAGGAACCAGCAAAAATGAAAACATATTCAGATTTACTAAAGAGAAAAGGGGTATATAGGCCAACCTACCTGAGCATCAAAGCCTACCCAAACGATCCCAAAAGTAAGGCACGGCAAATCAAGTCGTAGCCTCAGGATAGACCCTGCAAAGAGGGGTTCTAGATCTGTCTAAAATAAGGTACCAAAATCCCATGTCTTGATGATCATTTTGAACATAAACAGCTTCGGCTATACCGATATACCCAACTTTTGATCAAACTCGGAGGTTTATTATGTATGCGACAAGAACAAGGATGACCCGGCTTCCCAGCAAAAATCACGGTGAAGCCAAAAACATGCCGAAATGAGATAAAGCCAACAAACGTTGGGGTTCACCAAGTTCATTTAGTAAAAATGGGAATAGAAAAAAGCCAGTGCGGGTATGCTAGGGTTTTTTACTACTCACAACTGGAGAGAAGTTGAATTTAAAAGGACTTTGTTATACTTTGGCCTCATTTAGAAGATTTTAGAAGTAGCAGCGTCCCATGATTGTACCAGAAGGTTTTGCTGCTGAGGCTTCCAATGATTCGGATCACCAAAGGACTTTCTGAAGAGAAGCAGCAATTGTTTTGCATTTACCTTGCGTTATCTTAGATACTCAGCAAACAAGATGGTCTTTAGCTGGGTAGGACATATCCCCCATGTCAAACAAAAACCTAGTTTGTCAATCTACCCGAACCATGATGTACGCATGTTACACAAATATGTATATATATATGTATATATATATACATATATGTGTATATAGTGTATATATATATATATGTATAATTATATATTATATAATACATACATAATACATTATAATATATATATATATTATATATTTATATGCATCTCTGGATGAATCAACATAATTAACCAACCTAACCTTTTGGGCAATGTTGGGATAGTTAGCCCAATCCAATTCCCAGCTGTTCCCATTCCATCAATCAGGGACCGCTGGGAGCATCTGGGAGCCCCAAACTTCATGGCATCGATCTTCCGCTCGGTGATGCTGTCGTTCAGCGCTTTTCGAAGCTCCGACTCGGAGTAACGCTCCTGAAAAATGCGTGAAGGTGGACCATAGGTGGACCAAGGGGGCCTTGGAAATCAGGGATGGGGAACGATGGGATTAGAAAAAATTGTGGGAAACAATAAGGAAAGAATTGTGGGATTAGAAGATATTAGAAGAATCCCTTCCCCCCAAAATATGGGAAATATCACCCCATCGAGGCTCTGTTTAGTGGTGAATCTATTCATTTTGGATTCCTTCTTGGGTGCTTTTGATCTTCAAAGATGGGACACACAGAACATGAAGAACCTGAGTTTGACCATGTCATGTCAGTGTTCGCATCGGTTGCGGGCTTCAGTGTAGTCAGTGTAGTCCAAACCCTGAAGGACATGAGTCCGTTAACTTCCAACCCACACTGACAAGACACCTAAACCATCAAAGTTTTACTCAGTATACCTCTAATCCTCTTTATTGGTTATAACATAATACATATATATATATATATATACAAATATACACATTATATACAAACAAAGCCGGAACTCTACTACCATTGTACTCCGTGGACTCCGGCTGCCGGCGTCTCACCATCTTAGATCATCGTACGTGACCCAGTGACCCCAGTCTCTCCGACGTGTCCGATGCCCGGGGGCCTCATCAAAATATCTGGCCTCCGAGTTGGACAACGCTGAGAAGATTTCTCTCACCCCTGCCGAAGCCTGGAGACAAACGGCGGCCATTGGAGGCCATTGGATGTCAAAAGACACTTGTTCGATTCAAGAAACACTGATAATTCATGTTAACTCCTCAGTATTAAATCATGTCATAATAATGTCTGTAGGTACTTGGCGATCACTTTGGTTCTTCAAGAACATATCGATTACTGTGCCACTGCAGGGTGGAGCGGGCGTGTCAGTCGGCACAAGGGTCATAAACCTCAATCCTGCAGGGTTCATTTTGCTATGTTTTTATTAATTTTGTGAGCTGCCCAATAGAGCATTGCACCACTAAGGGGCGTGTGCTCTAGTAGCCACCAGAGAAGCTTCGCTTCTGTCTCTAAACCACAATTGAATCCAGTAAAACTATGGTCGGTCAGTAGAGGTTCTAATCATCATCAACCATCCCTAGTGACAACAAAGAATCCAATACGGCAGTCATACCACACATCTATATAAATCCTCATACATCGACTATATGCTGATATAGCTACTGTACAAGCCCTGCAACCTTTTTGTCCACGCCACTGCCTCCAATGTGCCTCCTCCCATGACCAGGATTTTGGAGGATCCCAAAATGGCCAGGGAAGCCAGGTATGGGCCATCTGAGTCTTGTAAAATCCGAAAGGTATGGGCCATGGGTTCAATACACCTCTACAGAACACTACAAAACACTGTAAGTACAACAATGAGTTCAATTTCATCTGCATCTTATGATTGTTTGCCAGCAAGATTCCCTGAGATGCTCTCACTACTCCAAATAGAGTCCACCTGCTATGCCTCACTCACTGTCAGCTCTCCATCAAATCTCCACCCCCAAAGATGCCATAGCACTGGGCATAAAGAATGCCACTCGCTGCATGACACCATCTTTTCGCGGGTCGTATGGGGTGTCCTTGGATGGGATTTCCAGAACGGTGGGAATCATCTGCCCGCTGTGGGCAAACTCGTCCACGGCTCTTCGAATCATTTCGGCACAATCCTTTGCAGGGACAGGCTGGGAGGTAGTCGGGCCCTCCTGAGCATGTTTTAGGTAGGAGACTTCAACATAGATTTAGCATGAGTTTGGTCTTGTCACTCAATTTTCTTTCTTGGGATGTCCACAACATTCTACAACCAAAAGGCCCTCCGTTTCCAGGCCAGCATGTATGGTCCCTCCTTTATCATGTAAAAACACTGGCCCCACCTGTGTGATCAGAATCATGGAGATATCTTTTCGCGCAGTAAGGTCATGGAACTGTTCCTCAATGTCTTTAATGTGGACCTTCGAGTCAACGACCAAGAAGTTCTTCTTTCCTTCAGGGTTCTCGCAGCATTTCCTCACATTTACCTGATAAAAGATCAATGTGTGTGGATCTCACTAGGTCACTAGGTATGAAGCATATCTATTATATATTTATATTTATAATATATACATATATATATATATATGTATTGTATATGTTGTATGGTGTATATTGTATATCCTATATATGTATATGTATGTGCGTGTAGTGTATATAATATATATTAAAACAAAAACAATATATACATATATATATAATAATAATATATAATAATAATAATAATATTAATATATATATATATATACATATGTAGACAAATGTACAGTAGATGTATGTAAATCAAACATACATGAAAGTTGTTCGATCACTTTCCTTGTCCATCCACATGGCCAATACCAGCAAGAAGCATGCCGGTGACCGTGTCTTCATCCCCAATCAAGCCTATCTTCATGTCAGTCTGGGTCACAAATTTGGTTTTCACCATGCCGACCAAGTTTAGCTCCGGAAAGCAGCTATCGACCAGAAACCGGGGAACGAAGGTACCAAAGGAAAGTACCTGAAAGCAACTTGAGCCCAACAGCCACACCAGCCACTGTTGACGAAAGTTGCTTCCAACTTCAAGGCCCAAATTCCAAGTAAAACAGGAGGTGCAAGGCGTTCCTTAGCCAATTCTATTCCAAGCAAGTTGCATAAACCCCGAAGAGCCCACGTCTCTGTTCTTTGTTCTCAATGATAGCTTTTTGAAATGCCAAACATATATCAACAAATCTGGTATCTGAATAATTGCACTGACAATATGATACAAACAATAAGACAAAAATCATCCAACACATCTGCGTTCCCTTCCTGTTGGCCCACACATGGTCCGCCGCCCTGGTCGATTGCCATGCCTTTTCCATGATCTGTCCCCCTTGCGCCGCCATGGCGCCTTGTCATGCGAGCGAACCCTGAAGATTATGCGTAGAGGAAATTAGGGATCAGCTGTACAGTGAATCAAAAACCACAGTCTGTGTCCAAAATGTCCAAATGACCCAAAGTGGGAAGACCATGGAAGACCAACAGTGTAAATACAGCAATTGGTTATTTAGAATGTCCATTTAACATCCTTTATATATATATATATTATATATACGTATACCTACAAACCTGGGAACTGTTATCATAGTGATTATGATCCGGTTGTGATGGGGATGAGCACCCAAACATCGGGTGCAACGAAACTTATGTCCGTGGCCCGCCGCCAGGACAGTTTATCTCCAACTGTTGAACCAATTGTTGGACTCACACTGCCACGAGCATTGTCTATCTTTTGATGAGAATCTTCCCTTCGGGGCAATGTCAATGTACAGTATACAGGTAGATAAATTACCTGGTCTCAATAATAGAGTGCCAAAAAGTGAAGATAATTAATGTGTTTACACATTGATTCATCCTCATGTACTGAATACTCCCCTTATAGTTCCCCTTTGATGAGTGGAAATAGCTAGAAATAGTCAGTATGTCCTGTGTATGTATGTGTATATATATATATATATACATACATCACATACATACATACATACATACATTAATTACATTAATTACATACATACATACATACCATTACATACCATTACATACCATTACATACCATTACATACCATTACATACCATTACATACCATTACATACCATTACATACCATTACATACCATTACATTACATTACATACCATTACATTACATTACATTACATTACATACATACATACATACATATTCCTCTCTATAATTATATGATATATAATATATACTGTATATATATACACATTTGTTTATCTATGTGATTCCGGCGTGGTGTATTTATTCTTATCGTAGTGTTGGATCGAATCAGGCCTTAGACAGTCTCAGTTGATAGTTGGTGAACCAGTGAGGCCGAGCGTACAGTAAGGAATGTACTGGCAGTGGCACATAGTGGTGATCCTTGGTTGCTGAATTTTGATGATTTATCCGAATTCTCATTGCGGGCTCACAAGTTCAGGTTAAAATCTGTATTTTGCGAGCAGAAACTCCATATTTGTTGGCAGAAAGAGCAGTTTATAACACATACATGTGTATATATATATAAACACACTATATGATATAATATGATATAATATGATATAATATGATATAATACGATATAATCTGATATAATATGATATAATATGATATAATATGATATAATATGATATAATATGATATAATATGCTATAATATGATATAATGTGATATAATATGCTATAATATGATATAATATGATATAATTAATCTGATATAATATGATATAATATGATATAATCTGATATAATATGATATAATATGATATAATATGTATATGATTAGGTATATAATTATTCTTGGTTAAAATCCCATTGTTGCTGGTTGAGACCCATGGCCACCTCAAGCCACAGCATTGGTGATTCTCTGTTTTGCTGAGGCGCCTGCCCTCCGACCGCAGCCTAGTCCCCCGTCATGAGAAAATCGACGAAATGAACAGCTGCGGCGTTCGGAACATGCGTGGTTTGCGGCTTTCTTAAATTGGGGGATTCCCAATAACCCTGGGGTTTAATACTAAAATGGATTTCCATAAGTGGTGGATATCCCCAATAGCTGGATATAGCTGGATGGTTTATTTCATGGAAACTCCCATCTATGAATTGATGATTTAGGGGTAGCCCTATTTTGGGAAACCTCCATGTGGGCGCAATCTCAAGTGGCTGGCTACACTCCAGTTGACACCTGTCAGCAGCTACTTTTCGTTCCACTTTGGTCGCGATTCGCCGGACTCCATGTTTTGAGTCAGGCTATGGCAAAGCAACATGATCCCGTATCTGGATGATTTTTCAAAAAGCCTGAAAAAAACAAAAAACATGTTCGTTTTCTGCAAATCATGTATCACCTGTGGTTTATAAAGATACGAGTATGTAAAGAAACACATCCAGATACAAGAACTCTTGTGTACATCATATTGATTTGCCTCAGGTTCTGTTCAATCCTGCGGCAGGTCAATTGGCTTTCCAGGTACCGTATCGAAGCTATCAACAATAATTAACCAAGTTGTGAGTGGTCTTTCATCGTTTGATAAAGTTTGATATAATTACACGAGTTTGCCAAAAATAGATACGGCTGTACCCCGAAAAGGGCATTTGAGACGAACTTAATGAGAAGCCGTAGGATTTGATTTAGGAATACCGTATATTCATACAATCCCACATTCAACCTACGGTTGAAACATGTCGAATGACGCTAATACTAATAAAGGCAACAAAATGTGGTGGGATGTATCTACAAGCAAAACAAAGCCGCACACGAATATGGCGAGGAAAACACATTGTATACTTTGACAAATGGATGTGTCTCTATGGTGCTGTACCAACAGCAATGAAGATTGAGGATTTAAGATCAAGTATATAAACAGCAAAAACACCAGAATTACATAGAACTACATGGTATTGCATTGTTTTCATATGTTTTTTATTGCCAAAAATCAAGTTTTTCATAGTGTTCCCATATGTGGGGGTTTCTTAAGTCATGGGGTATCCCCAAGTCACCATAGGTTTCAAGACTAAGTTATGGCCATGTCTTGAATTGAATGATTTGGGGGTGCCCCCATGACTTAGGAAACCTCCATGTTTTGCCGTCCTGGCGCGTCGTAACGACGACACTAGGCGGCTGAAGCCTTCAGCACGCTGGTCCTGAACGGGGGAACTTTCATGGCGGATGTACATGCAAATCAAAGGTGTATACATATAGTACTAACAATGATTTTTGTTGTTTTTTTGTTTTTACGTCATTGTGCATTTGTGTACATGCCATGTATATTAAATGTATTATATATGTATTATTATGTATTATACATATATAATATACACAGTATAATATATGACAGCGTAGTATTATAAAATAAAATATACATTCATAATTCAATCTAAGTTATGTAAGAAAGTGAAACAAACATTCGACGAGGAAACAATTTAAATCCAGGGCTGGTGATATGTGCATACCATACAGTAATGTTTGTCAAAGATGATTGTTTCCTGCATCTTCCGTTAGACATTGTTCGGTTCGGCTAATTCTGGTAGCCGTCTTTCGGAAAAACGCAATAGAATTTTCATCGAGGTACTATAAAAACCAACATGGGAGTACATGATCAGCAAGCACCAAAGGGAAAAGCAACTACTGGTTGGTGGTTTCAACCCCTCTGAAAAATATGAAAGTCAGTTGGGAATATTATTCCCAATATATGGGAAAATAAAATTCATGTTCCAAACCACCAACCAGAATATGTCCTCCGCACACTCTTGGAGCCATCTTGCGCCTCAGCGAGGTTTTAATTTGCGCGCCATTCGATTGGATTGCAATCACAAAATGACATACCCGGCCTGGTAATTTAACATAGCTATTGAAAATCACCATTTTCAATGGGTAAATCCACTATTAATGGTCATTTTCAATAGCTATGCAACAAATTACCAGAGGGTACATGGGTTTCTCCAAAAACCATCAAAAACAGGGGTTACCCGGTTACCCCTGAGAAAGCCAATGGTTGATCATGCTGGGATCCCCAGTGGTTCACGGTCGCTTCTGAATGGTCGATGTGAGCACCGAAGGTGTATCCAGAGAACAGCACCGAAGGTGGTACTCAGACCCAGGCCTCTTCCAACTGGAGTACGGTGGCAAAGCGAGGATCCAGGGATCCAAAGCCTGTGCTGGTGAGGCTAGTCTGCTGGTGCTACTGTTGGAGTTCCACCTGACCAAGTGGAGATAACTTGATATAACTTGATGTGATCAAGCAATATAGACATCAGGATAAAACAACATGGGGGGTATAGTGTTTTCAACCATCAAACATGTTCGGCAACAATGGGGGCTGGTTGGTTGTTGCTGCGTATCTGACATGCAAAGGGGAAGCAACACCTGCAGCTTCCAATTCATTTCGTTTCTGCCAATGGATATCCTGTGGGTCAAAGGTCCTTTTTTCCCTTTCTCCGCTCAACCGCGCAGCAATCATCAAAGGTTGATCAAACAGGTTGGAATCAACATTTGGGTACTAAACGAACATAAACTAACAAAGGGCCACATCGCTTTCGGTCGCTTCTAATGATGGCCTTCCCAAGTTGACTGCACTGAGTGTCACTCTCTGGTTGTACTCTTGAAAATTCGAATATCTCCAAATCATTGCTCACAACATGTGTGCACATCAGACATTCCATCACTATAACCCTCTGGCAAGCAAAACTCCTAATCAACATACTATACCCCCACTAACATGATCTATGTTTGTACATCCAATGTCAATAAAGTTTGGATGATCTTCGCGTCAGCGATGAGTTTTATATGGACACACATTCCATTCTCATCTTGAATTTCCCAGACACAAACCATTGATTGAAGGGAACATCTACAGGAAAGAAGAGGTTGTGGTTGTGGTTGTGGTTGTTGTTGTTGTTGCTGTTGTTGGTGTTGTTGTTATTGTTGTTGTTGTTGTTGTTCATATTCTTGTTGTTGTTCTTGTTATTGTTTTTGTTGTTGTTGTTGTTCTTGTTGCTGTTGTTGTTGTTGTTGCTGTTGTTGTTGTTGTTGTTCTTGTTTTTGTTCTTCTTGTTGTTGTTGTTCTTGTTCTGTTTGTTGTTGTTGCTGTTCTTGTTGTTGTTGTTCTTGTTGTTGCGTTGTTGTTCTTGTTGTTGCTGTTGTTGTTGCTGTTGCTGTTGTTGCTGTTGTTGTTGTTGTTGTTGTTGCTGATGTTGCTGTCGTTGTTGCTGTTCTTGTTCTTGTTCTTGTTCTTGTTCTTGTTGTTGTTGTTGTTCTTGTTCTTGTTCTTGTTCTTGTTGTTGTGTTGTTGTTCTTGTTGTTGCTGTTGTTGTTGTTGTTGCTGTTGCTGCTGCTGCTGCTGCTGCCGCTGCCGCTGCTTGTGTTGTTGTTGTTGTTGCTGTTGTTCTTGTTCTTGTTATTGTTCTTGTTGTTGTCGTTGTTGTTGCTGTTGCTGTTGCTTGTTGTTGTTGTTTGTCGTTGTTTGTCGTTGGTTGTTTGTCGTTGTTTGTTGTTGTTGTTTGTTGTTGTTTGTTGTTGTTTGTCGTTGCTGTTGTTGCTGTTGTTGTTGTTTTATACAAAGGTCGGATTTACCCTCAGATTGTCCCATATACATCTCAGGACACCCGACAAAAATCCATGAAAAATCCAAGACCTCCAGCACCAAGGGATCCAAGGGGCTAGTGTTTTGGTGCACCACGCGATAGCCCAACCACCGTCGTCCGGAGGGACTCAACAGCTGCACCGAGGGCTTGGTGATCTGCACCGTGGATGTGGGAGGACTGACCGAAACATGGGCCATGGGCCAATCCCATGGGTTCAACGGTTAGTTGGGGACCATGCTATTCCATGCTAAACAGATGCTGAACAGGTGCTGAACAGATGCTAAACGGATTCAAATTTGCTGGGTGCAAAGGCTTTCAATTCATTGAACTATAACATGCTAGAACATACTAGAACTGTATTGCCTCGAACAATCATCAACTTTTGGCGGGACCAGCCAGTATAGTTGTCCACGGCTTCATTTGATGTTTGAGTGTTTGAACCCCCAGAAAGGGGGAAATGTAAGGCCTTCTGCCCTTGAAAGCTTCATGAGCCTGCGGAGACATGTTGGGGGCATCTAGTAAATCTAGTGATTGAACAAGCTTGACTCGCTAGCGAGAGATGTGAAGTAGGAGATGTTTTTCAATTGTCTCCGTTGAAGTGGATCAAGAAAGAAGTCCTCATCAGCTCATTGGGTCACGAAGGACTCCACACACTGGTTCACAATCGCAAGTTGATCCGCTATGCGTTGCACAATAGAACACTTACAAAGGTGACAGATTTTTCGGGACGACGGATATCAACTAAATACTGAAGAATATGGAAGAACATGCAGCGGTGAATCCGATTTGATATAACCAAACTTGAAGAAAAAATCCGCTTTTTTTGAAGCCTCCAAAAAAAGAAACCTCAAAAAACCATATGTACTTGGCCAGGAGTCGAATATGTCGAATCAATCCACCTTGATTTGAGGTTCAAACCTTGGTACCTCACATACCAACAATGGACAGAAATTGGTGAGACATTTTCATTGAGGTCGCAATTTAACATCACCCACTACCCAAACTACCGGAACTAAGTTGTTTATGTTGTTTGAAATCCCCCAAAACCAGTGATTTACCAACCCTTTACAATGTAAGATGCAAACGCCTCACCACATGCCGTTGGGGTAACCCCCACGGGGCACCCCTGCGCGATTGGCCGAAATCAAGTTCTCCAGCACGTGGCAGGGCCAATCCTCAAATTTTTGGGATGTCGACATATCGAGGATTCCTGTACTTCACATCCCAAAATGATCCATTGGAATCCATATGGAACATGTTATGACATATGTATACTGGTTGGTGGTGCAATAACTTTTAACCATCTTGAAAAATTTCAAAGTTCGTCAATGGGAAGGATTATCCCATATATTGATATATATATATATATATTTTGGAAAATAAAACATGTTCCAAACCACCAACCAGGTATATGTGACCAGAATGTGAAACAATTGTCCAATGATATGCCTAATGTACCTTTGGGTAACCAAACGTGGCTAGCTGGGAAATCGTCTCTGCAAATGGAGGGTGTTAATGGGAAAATCATCTAGAAATGGTGGATTTTCCAGTGTCATGTTTGATTGCCAGAGGGTAATGGATATTCCGTTCCTTGATTTCCAGTGTCATGTGTGATTGCCATTAATGGTCACTCCATTGTCATTCTTGGGATGTGAATCACCGAAGTGAGACCCCTGGAGATGATCCGTATATATCCGCTGGTTGTCATTTGGGATCTTCATCCGTCATCCATCTTCATTTCAGATCCCATAAGAGAAACATGGGTAACAAATGTGTGGGGTCTCCATCCTCATTCCATATGTTCAATTTGTTTGAGAACGGAAACATATGTGAAACCACCAATTGCATCACATCGGGAATAGAAAGCCCAGTACCAAGTTTTACCTTGCTAGCATCCAAGAGACTTGTTGAAAGCACCTTTATCCCTGTTTGCCTTTGTCCGCTTTATCTATTCCAACATTAGCCTGCTCCAAGGTTGTGTTTCTTTTCTTTTGTGTCCATGCGTACCCAAATCCCCACCACCATTCCTGATGATGCTTGGAATTACAGTACAAAGAAAATTGGTTTATACTGCAATCATTTAGCCATTTAAATCATCAGAAATTAGACAACAACTATCTCAATGATTTAATTCCTGACGAAGTTCACTTCAAATTGCTTTTGATTTAGCACCCCTCAAACCGGAAAACTGATTCCACTGTGCCATGGTGAAAATTATGGTATATCAGCCATGGTAATCCCATCATTATTACGAAATCCAAACATCACGGACCCCAACGGATACAAAAAAAAACATGTTTTCATATTTTTCTACATATTGGGGGATGATGACCATATGGCCTTCAATAAACAGTGTGTTACCACGGCAGGTTGGAGATCCAAGCATCGTCGGAGGCCAAGTTGCCACTTGCAGCCAAGCGTTGTAGGCCTGGCACCTGGCGTGAATTTTCTGAGGGAAAACCAAGAACTTGCATATAGAATGGCTTATTTAAGGCCATTCAGAAGGGGGCTACAATAAATTGACATATACATATATATATATATACACAAACTAATGACTAGTATGCAACATAATGCCAGTGATCATATAAATAATTATCAGAAACACCAAAACAAGACTCTGTTTAAGATGTATTAACTACATATAACTATATATATATAATATACATTATATATATATATACATGATATATATATATATATATATATACATTATATATATACACACATTTTACATATATTCTATATACATATATATATACATGATATATATATATACATATATATATATATGTATACATTATATATTATATATATACATTATATATATACACTATATATATATATACACATTTTACATATATTCTATATATATATGATATATATATACATTATATATATACATTATATATATACATTATATATATACATTATATATATACACATTTTACATACATTATATATATATACATTATATATACATTATATATATATATTATATATAAATACATTATATATATACATTATATATATACACACATTTTACATATATTCTATATATATATACATTATATATATATATACATTATATATATATATATACACATTTTACATATAGTCTATATATATACATTATATATATACATTATATATATACATTATATATATACATTATATATACATACATTATATATATACACATTATATATATACACATTTTACATATATTCTATATATATACACATACATGATATATATATATATACATTATATATATATATACATTATATATACATACATTATATATACACATTTTACATATATTCTATATATATACATTATATATATACATTATATATATATACACATTTTACATATATTAATTATATATATATATATACATTATATATATATACATTATATATATACACATTTTACATATATTCTATATATATATATACATTATATATATATACATTATATATATACATTATATATATATACATTATATATATATACATTTTACATATATTAATTATATATATATACACATTATATATATACATTATATATATATACACATTTTACATATATTCTATATATATATACATTATATATATACATTATATATATACACATTTTACATATATTAATTATATATATATATTTACACATTATATATATATCATCAATCATCATTTATGTTTTAGGCAACTATCACCCCCAATGGTCTTAAGAAACCAGTAATGCCCCCCGCGCACCTTGGGCAAGGCCTCCACCAAGAGCTGCAAGCCTCGTAGGCCAATGCGGTTCTCCTTGTGGCAACGCTGGTGAGGAATATTAATATGGGTTTGTCTGAAAATAGTGTACCCCATTTTCCCAATGGTTAATGATCATTATCCCTACTAAATGGCTATAATTGGGGGTATAGCCTATTTTCAGACATACCCATATCGATATTTATGGATGATGGTTATAAATTTAAAAATGGTTATAATAGATATTAAAAAAATAGAATTGTTATATAATATCCATGATGGTTTTGGATAACAAATGGATACCTATGGATAATATAAATGGATATCCATAAATGGATAATTATAACCATCATATGGATATTTATGGATGATCATATGATGGTTGTAATAAATGATTGTAATTACCACTATTGTTGTGGATTATTATATGGGGATTTCCATAAATGGTGGATATCCCCAATACTGGTAGCTGGATGGTTTATAATGGAAACTCCCATCTATGAATTGATGATTTCGGGGTCCCCCTATTTTAGGAAACCCCCATATGCGGAATAGGTCAAAACCTATGAGATTACCATATGACTGGATGGTATAATAAGACATAACCATCCATTCACCAGCTATTTTAGGTACCTAGGGTACAAAAATTTTGACTCAAAGCATTTGGCGAATGGAGATGTTGTAATAATTCACTAGACTATAATTCACTATATAAACCAGATCAAAACCCGAACCATACTTTCAAGTGACGTCACAGTATGGTCAGCCCCCCCACCGCTTACTTTAGTTTTTTTACATTAATTATAAGACTGATAAAAGGTACGTGGTTTCCTTGCTGGCCCTGTGTCACAACGCTGTGAGGTTTTTTTGGGTTCTTATCATTTCCTCGTTCGCAGCAACCCACAAAAGATGAGTCAAACATGGTCATCCTGCGTACATTCACATGAACATTAGAAACAAGTAAAGAAGCACTAGGGAAATATTTCCATGGCTCCAATGATCGTTGAAGACTAAACATCGAAATCATCAAAACGACCAACTCTCTCTTCGTTCAGAGGTGCCAAATTGTGAGCAGTTCAGTCCTGCAGCTGAAGCCACACGATCGCTTTGGGACCTCGATTTAGGCCTTTGGCAATCGCCTCTGCTCCTCCATCGCCCATCTTCGCATTGCCTGTGACCAGTTCTGATGAGTCCGACGATGGTTGTTTGATACCATGGCTTATGGAATGTGAGAAAAACATGTGAATTTGACCAGAAAAAATGAGAAAGTTAATAAGTTAACCATATTTCACCAATAAAAATGGTGATTTCACCAATAAGTAATTTAACTAACAAAAAATATCAAAAAAACACGGTGCTTTAGCCAACCAAACAATGCAAAAGCAAAACATGCTTCGTCTCACCGGCCAGGTGCTCACATTGAGGTGTTGCAGCGGACATCCTGCCATGGCACCAAGCAGGACATATACAGACTGAATTATCTGCTATCATCAAAAATAGTGTTGTATGTTGCATATAAAGTGTTCTTATAATAATGTATATGTATATATTGTATATATATAATATATAATCTGGTTGGTGGTTTCAACCCCTCTGAAAAATATGAGTTCGTCAGTTGGGATTATTCTTCCCAATACATGGACAAATAAAAAATGTTCCAAACCACCAACCACGACTCCTCCGACTTCAGCCAGCATGCTTGGGGGTCAACGAAGGATTCTCACATGGAAAAAAACCTTCCAGTTGACGACAATCTAACGGATAGACATTCAGAGATCTTCAAACCGATCCAATCACATCAAGTCTAGGTCTTCCATATGGTCCTCCTTCCTCGTTTCGAGACGCGTTTCCCAACCGGTGACCCTCAACAGTCGGCCTTCATCCAAGCCTGCAGCCAGCGCAGCTGCACCCTGACGCCCGAGACAGTTTCGAGAGACGTCCAGTGAAGTGAGTCTCGTCTTGGCTGTTCCTCCACTCCGGGACGGTGGAATCGAACCATTGGTTTGTGATGATATTGATGATATTGATGATATAGTTTCCCAATCATATGGCCTTCTAATATGTTATAACAATAATTATAGCCAACAAATGCCAACAATATACAGTAATAATAAAATATGATAAGTAGTTATAACATGTTATAATCGTCCCCAATGAACCAGCTAGTATAACTCCTTGCTTCATTGCGAATCAACAAAGGTATTATTACTGATCTGGAACCCCCAGGATTAGATGAACTTGGAAATGGATGCATTGTGGAGTATAGCCAACCAAACCTGTGATTGCACCAAGCAAAATCAGATCTCAAACCGAAACTTATATATAGAATGATATAGAGATATATAAAGATATATAGAGATTGAAGATTGAAACTTTGACGCACCAAATTACAAGCAACAACAATAAGTTACAACCAACAATCAACCCAAAGCACTAGTGTAATTGGGTGTCCACAATTGGTAGTCATCGTTCTAATCAAATTATGATATATCATGTATGTGTGTACCTTTGTATTCATCTCTGATCATGGATAATCTTAAATGCACTCTACCTTATTATATAAAACATTTTTTTCTTTCAACAAAAACTGTGATGGCCTTGTTTTCGTATAGGAACATCGTCGTATATCACCGGTTATCTCACTCTGTTGCTTCTTAAACCCTATCCCAAATATGGTGAAATCACCAGCTTGCTTAAAGAATACTCCTCACAAGGAAAACTGAAATCATAGATAATCATAGTACACATATTACGTATATATATATATATATCCGTTATATTCTATCATATTCTATCCATATCTATAGATTATAGCCATTGTAACTCCCAGCCTCAACCCGCAGTTCTTCGTTGGGATGGAACTTCCTTCAGCGGGCCTGTGAGCACCGCTGCTAAGGCATCCGCCCCGAACAAGCCGATGCGATTGCTCGAGACGTCCAGCTCCTGTAGAAAGGGTAGTTAGCACCAGCAGTTGGGACATGTCCCAACTATTGGGTATTTTGAACATCACTATAACATATAATTATATATAATATATATATATACAATGTATGTACAGTATCTGTTGGAGATTATATCAAATATACCCCCAATAGTTGGGTGATGTGAAAATCGACATTTACCAACCCCCACCAGCAAACAAACCTCCTGAAATTCTGGGCGGTTTCTATCACCAACGAACACGGTGTACTACTGTATCTACTGTGAGAAAAGAGGTGCTTGATTTTGTTTGGTTCTTTGGGTCGAAATTGGGACAACAAACTCTAAACAGTCGATCAAGCAGCCCCCAGATTTTACTTTCAAACATGCTACATATGGTGAGGACTGAACATGACCATTCCATCATTGGGTCTGCACTGTGAAGTCCTTCGGACCCATAGCCTGATTGGTTTCTGCTAAAATGGGGTACTGTACCCCATTCCATCCACTGGCTGAAAAGCTCAGGCTTTCCCTCTCAAAGCTGAAAAAAAAACACGGGAGTTAAACGTCCCATCATTTCTGAACAAACATATTAAAAAATCATATAAACATATCCACTATTGATTGCTGTTTGCACACCCAGTATTGCCGTTTAATATCCCCCTCAAAATTCCTGGTCAATGCCCCAACCCAATCATCCATGGCACATGTACCTCCACCTCTGACTGCTTCATCCAACACCATCCAAGTTCCGTCATCCCCATTTTGCTGCTTAATATCCCCATCAAAACCGCTCCGAATTAAACATCCTAGATAAGTCAATTCCCAAACCCCTAGTACCTCCCTGAAAAATCACTGGTCTGGTCAAAGCAGAAAATGAGAGGAGCAACCGATAAGATAGTGATATGCAATGCGCACGCCACAAGATCAGATGCTATTTTCCTTCCATTGCACGACGACCGTACGAACGGCAGTATGAGCTCAGTTGAGCAGAACGCCTAACGGAAAGGAAATCAATAGTTTCCGCTAGGATCAAATCAGATCAAATCAGATCAAATCAGATCAAAGTCAACTGGGACATGTCGGATTTTCACCGATCTCTTTTCTTCTTGACTTTGATCTCGAGTCTCCATGGACCAAAGCATGATGGGTTTTCTCCAGTCTTTCCTGTCGCAGCATTTGCCTTTTCTTCTTTGCCGAAGTGAACAAAGGATCAAAAATGACCGAAATAACTCCCAAAGACAACAAATCCACTAATTGATCATAATGAAAGGGTTTACTAAGTCCATCTGCCAACTGCTGATCAGAATCACACCACTTAACACAAATACCCGTTTGTTGAGTTCTTTCCCGAATAGACAAAATCTCAATAGCAACACGTTTCTCTTCAAGTTGGAGTCCAGAGGTCTCGATCCTAGACATGGCATCATACAAGTTCTTGGAATCCATGATTAACACCGAAGGGACCGCTTGCATTCGTTCTTCCATTTCTTGAAGCCCCAAATTGTCCATGTTAAACCATTCCAACAAAACTTGTTTGGTGAATTCGTGAGAGTCCGTTGCATTAGACGCCATTTGAACCTCAGCAGACGTTGACGAACGAGCCACACGGGCAAGTTTCCTAGACTGCCATGATAACAAAGAATATTCACTTCTTTCCCCCTGGAGAATCCCCATGTCTGCTAGTAAGGTCAACTGACCACCCTGTGACGAATCGTCCATTCTACAAGCATAAGACGCATCCGTGTACGTAACCAAAACAGGTCTTTGAATAGCACTGGAAAATTTAACAGGAACATCACACCGATGACGTTGTTCGCGAATCAGTTTGTTGACTTGTAACAAATGTTCAACTTTGGGATTCTTTTGACAACCTTGCAACACGGAAACACTCGCTGCCAACCAAGGACACGATTGCGTTGCTCGCCAAGATAATCCACCTAGAGCAGCTCTTAGCTGTTTCGTCTCACTGGGCGTGGCTGGCGCAGAAGGCTCTTTCTTACGAGAGGTTGAAACTCCAATCTCTGACAAACCCAAAGCATACCGTTCCTGACTAACATAGATATTGAACAGAGAATCCTGGGACACTTCACAACCACAAAAGGTGATGGTTTCCTCTTGTGCCTTCTGCCAACTACCGAAAGGAAAGGAGCTACGCAAAAGTTGAATTCTTTCCTCAAAGTAGCTACCTTTTCCGGAACACAAAATGTCATCCACGTGACATCCCAGCAAGCCAACTAGTTGACCTGACTTATCAAACAGTCGCCAAACGCACTGCTCCAACCTTGACCGTTGCCATCCCTGTTCCGCCAAGACACGTGCCAGCTTGTCTAGCCAAGCTCTAGGAGCATTGAGAAGACCGTAACCCTTTTTAATCCTCAACATTTCGTGGTCCTTCATCCCCAAAATCTCCCGAGCCTCTTGAGGGGGGTCCCCGAAAAGATGTTCACATTCCGGTAAAACATCCCCATTCAAAAAGGCCGTCTTGATATCACCTGCAAAGATAGGCCAGTGATAGATGGCGCTCAGGGCAAGCAAGGCGTTCCTGTTGGATAAAGCCAGTGTGGGGCTATCACGACGAAGGGAAAGCAAATTGGGATCTTCAAATCCACGGATGATCAAACGAGCCTTTGGTTTCGTGCCAGAAATTTCTCCCTGATCATTCATCACAGGTTTATACGTCAACACCCAACGCATCGTCAACAACTTTTGGGGGTCAATACCTTGTTTCGCCGCGATTTCAATAGCTTCCCTCTCTAAGAAACTACTGACTTCTGACTTCATGGCTTTCTTCATTTCAACTTGTTCCTCAGGACTCAATTTCTTAAAGGAGACCTCCGCATTCTTTTTGGGTTTTTGGTTTAATACCCATTCCGCAACCCCGTTTCGCCGCTGACAATGAACATCCCGTGGGGCCACTGTCATTTGAATTTCTAGGACCTCATCCGAGGTACAAACAAAGTTGTTGGTTGGAAGCTCACTCTCCAAAGCGGAGTCTTCGCTCTCGCTCATCCATTCAAAACAGCCACGGCTAAACGACGAAGCAACACCCTCAGAACCACACTCTTTGGGTTTTTGAAGTGAACATCCAACACTGTACTCTTCTTGAATTAAACTCAAACTCTCATCTGATTCTACCTCAGGAAGCTCACTATGGAACGCACTCAGTTGCTGACCTCGATGTCTACTTCTCGATCTCAACCTTGATGAACTGGAGGTTCCACCATGAGAGGCAAATCCTCGATCTGCAGCTCCATCTGGGTCATGCGATTGTAGAGGGCGTTCATGTCCTCCTGCTGTTTCTGGGATTGTGCCTGGAGAATCATGACTGCTTCTTGGATCTGTTGAGAGTGCTGTACCTGATGGTTCAACTGAGTCTTGATCTGGACCAGTTCCTCGCAAATCATGTGCAGGGTCTCCTGGATGTTCTTCTGCTGCTGGGGATTGGTGACGACGAGACCGCTCACGGTCGAGGTATTCGTCGAACTCCCTGCGGGCTTGTCGGGGAACATTGTGTCCTTCGGAACTTCTGAGTAGCCCTTGGTCTTTTCTAACTGAACTCCTTCGTTCTTGGCTTTCTCTTCTTCCAGGCGGCGGGTGTAGATCAGGAGAGGCTGATACTTCACGTTCTGGCTTTGATGGTCGAGGAGCCAGAGAACGTAATTCTCCTCGTTCTCCACGATGGTCTTGAACGTTTGACCCTGATGCTTGCCCACCGGCTGCTTCTGGTTGCCCAGCTCTTTCAGATCCATCTCCTCGTAGCTCTGATTGCTGATGGCTCCCTTGTTTTGCAGACGAGCCCGCAAAGTCGCTGGATCCATCGTATGGCTTTTGTTTGCCAAACGCACGGTATCGGGGAATGCCTTCGACTGAAGGATCAGTATGTAGCTTGAGCAAAGTAGTGTCATCATCCGGATTTTCATCATGGATATCATCAGAGTCAGTCATCTGCTCAGCTTCAGGCACTATATTGTGATACCTTTGGCTATTCTTGGCTTCTTTCAAAATTTCGCTAGGAGTCATGTGGTCCCAGAACAGTTCGCTGAGGTTTCGCACAGAATGGGTCACAGGTCTCAATTGTTCTGGTGCACATCGCAAAAGAACAGTACCGTGAGCAACCCAAACAATAGAACCGGGGGATTGATTTCGGTCAACATCACCAGTTTTCTCCACACACACACGACCCGAGCAGGACCAAACCATGCACATTCATGTTGGTTTCCGGTTTTCCTACCCCGTCTATAGAAATAAACCAGATCCCCAGTGTTGAACGTTTGAGTGCGCCTAGCCCTAGCATTTTCAGCTCTTTGGATTCTTCTCTTCGCATCAAAACGGAGAAACACAACCCTAGCTTCATTTCTTCTTTGAAGGGTTTCCTCAAAACTCCCATTACTTCTACCAGATTGAACAGCCAAATGATCGCTCTTTTGAAGATAAGATTCTATGCGGTCTTGATTTTGGCCTAAACACCACTGGTTGGGAGAAAACCCCTTGCACAAATGAAGCTCATTTTTGGCGGCAGTACACAAATCCATGATTTCGCAACAGTCAACAGCGGGTCCAAGTTCCATGGATAGCAGGGTGGCATTCTCTTTTACTGTCTCCAAGTGTCTCGACTGTCGACCCAGCTGCCAAGCTGCCTCTCCGGCAATTGGCTGGAGTCTTATACCTTGTCCCTCCAACCAGTCTTGCAGATTGAGGCTGCGAAAGAAGCCCTCGCAGTCATATCGTAAGGCTTGTGGTTTGGGAAAGTATTTCAACCATCCACTAGTGAAAGCCCTTCGGAATTCCTCGGAAGTCACTCCCTTGGGGGTCTTTTCAGGGTCCATCCTAACAACCACCATGACATGAAAATTGGAACACTCATCCAAAAACGAAACTCCAACACAATTTTCAACAGGTTTCCCTTGAGCATTTTTGTGGGGGGACTGCCACCAAAAAGTATCCACACTGACCACCTCCCAAGGACTAGTGACGGCTGGAATAGCTGATGGAACGGTTGACGCCCTATGGCCCCGCTGTCGACACACCTCACATTCAAACTCCTTGGCAAGTTTTAGCACCTCTTCGGGAGCTTGAGCTTGTCTCAAAAGACGAAGTAAAGCATGATTACTGGGATGGCCTAAGTTAGAATGAATAACCCGAATTTTCCTCAGTAATTCATCCTGATTAGTGGTAATTCCCTGTTGATTAGGGGCTTCGGGGTGTCCCTGTCCTTCAGGTTCTCCCAAATTTTCGGGGTTCCCGGCCACCTGATCCTTATCCGCCACAATCTCAGAATCACTTCCCTTAATTTCGGGGTTTTCAAGGTCTAACACGTTCCCAGCAAAAATGTTGACATCCCTGGCATCAAGGAGTTGAGTCCAAATTTGTTCATATTGACTCCGATCCGACAGCAAGGCCTGAGCAAAACGGTGACATAACAGTTTGGGATACACCGCTGTTGGCGCAGTCCGTGAACCCTCGATGGGCAAATGGGCTTTTGGGCCATGGTTACAGGTTTTTCCAAGAGCTTTTCGCACAGCAGTACTAGTGGACAACCATCCAAAAGATTTCAACAAGGGAACCTTCCACCGCTCATCAACCAAACCATGCTGGCACCCATCAACCCGAAATCGACCCCCACACAACTGTGTCATGCGCTTGACCGGAGGTTCTTGCCACGAAGTGGCTCGTAGGGGTTGCTCAAAACCGCCATCGTGTGGTTCACCATCCGTGTATCCACCCTGAGAGCCCAGTTCCTGCATTTGAACTTCTAAAATCTTGAAACAGTTCTTCAAAATTTTCCCCCCAACCTTTCGTTTTTCCACCAGTCTACGTTTCTGCTCCTCAGTTCTTTGATTGGCATTCTGCATGATCGTATAAGGAAAACAAGGTGGAGAAACATGAACATACCGGGGTTTGACTTTCCGAACTAGGGCCAAAGTCTTCTTGAGACCTTCATTTGTGGATAGGCCAAAGCCATTGTGTAATCCCAACCTCAGTGCGGTGCCGCCAAGCTTCTCCACGGCGGCTGATAGTGGTGAATCCCAAGGTGCACATACTTCCAAAAGATCAACCCGGTTGTGATAACATAAACCATGAAAACAATCAACAGTTTCCCGTTCAACAGCAAGTTGTTGTTGCTCAAATAAAGCATGCATGTCGGCTAAAAGAGGAAGCTCCTGCGTTGACAGTACAAGATCCGGATTCCACCCACAATCAACATCACAACCATCATGGAGACTCGGATTAAACGGAGGATCTGTACAAAAATCCAGCTTCTCTGAATTACGCTCAAGGCAATCCCCACTCAGACTCATCGCCGACTGACAAGGCTGGTGGTGCTGTCCCTATTCCTCACTGCCGTTCGTAGGTCGGTCATCGCTCCGATTGAGCTCATCAATAGGGACGTCTCGATCACCTTCCTTCACAAAATAAGTATCCCAGTCAGTAGATCCAGTGAAAAAGGTCAGAGGAATTGTAAGATGATTGGTGGAAGTTCTTTCCAATTGAACCTGGCGATCACTGAACTTACTGAACAAGGCTTTTCCAGTGGCAAAGTTGATGGTTGCACCAGCATTGGCCAGCCACTGATTGGACAGCAAGAAAGGCGTGGGACCATCCACAACATGAAAAGGAATCGATACCTCCTTCCCCAGAATTCCAGTAGTCACCTCGGCCAGACCCAGGGCGCCAGATGATTGGCCATTTCCGAAGATGAAGTTCCTTTGATGAGATCGATCAATGCTGATTTCAGAGTTCGGATCAAAACCAAGTTTCTGAAGTTCATCTCCGTAGTCCTGCAAGACAGTCACACCAACAATAGATTCAGAGGCGCCGCAGTCCAATACTGCATGGCGATGAGAATGTTGGTTCATGACTGCGCCCACAAAGACATCGTCACCAGAGGGTCTTGCTACGGTGAACACAGGAACAGGCACTTCCTCCGGTCCAGGCACCGGGTATCCAGCAAGTGCCCCCAAAATCTCTGTGCAATTGTTGAGGGAGTGCTCAGATCCAGTCATCTCAGGAATTTCAGTGTTGGTCATGTTGTCTTCCTCGATGGTCTCTCCGGCTAGCACCATGCCTACAAAACCCACGCGGCCTCCCGGGGCACCTCGGTTGGGAGAGATCTTCTGTTGGCACTGCCGAGCACGATGGCCAGGCTTGCCACAGCGAAAGCACACCGGTTGGGATGTGGATTCACTTCGTCGGTCATCAGATCTCCGATTAGGATAAAAGCCCCGTGAAGTCCGATTTCGGTCCAAGGCCTTACGAGCATCTTTGTACCTCATCTTTTGATTCTTTGCTTCTTGAAAATTGGCAAGACACTCAGGATCAGTAGGCTGTTCGGCTAAAGCAAATGCAGCTTCATCAAATCGGCTCTCTACTTCTTCAATTTCAGCTAAGGTGTCCTCAATCTCCAGACCAGCATCTTCATCAAACCAAGCGGAGGCTGGAGCATCATCATTGGGCTCACTCATCATGATTCGGCTGGCTTTTTGCTTCTTCCTCTCGGCATCTTTTTGGGCTAGAGTATCGCCACTCCACAGTTTGGACATAGCGTTCGAGATGTCATCCAGTTTGTAGCTTGCGGCCACTGACTTCACTGTCGCCACATCTGAAGGATCTAGACGCAGAAACTGATGCACCATGAACCACCCGTAAATTTCCGGGGGTACAACAGCTGTTGATCCAACTGCTTGGAGAGCTTTGGTGATGTCTCGGATGTAGGCTGAGTGACGAATCTCATAGTCCGACCAGCTTTCACCATCCTTACGAGACACTTGATCCCTCTGGAAATATGCTCCAAGAGCGTCACCCAGACGATCCACCTTCTGTTTTCCCCTCTTGGATTCTAGATACTCTAACAAGTATGCCACACCATGTTCACCCTTCAATTTGGCCCGGTCAATTTCACTACAGCATTCCCAAGCCCTGTGGGTGAGGTTGCGCACTAATTTCGGGCCAAGTCTAGTCAGATCATCAGCAGAAGAACCATCACTTTCCAGCTCTACTTGTAGTCGATAATCTGTCCATGTTCCCCAGTCGCCATCCCATGTGGGCAATTTGGGGTTCGTCCTTGACTCAGCCTGAAAGGAAGAACTTTGTGAAGCAGCCATTTCCCAAGCGGGCCCTTATCGGGCTCCGCTGCCAGTGAAAAATCACTGGTCTGGTCAAAGCAGAAAATGAGAGGAGCAACCGATAAGATAGTGATATGCAATGCGCACGCCACAAGATCAGATGCTATTTTCCTTCCATTGCACGACGACCGTACGAACGGCAGTATGAGCTCAGTTGAGCAGAACGCCTAACGGAAAGGAAATCAATAGTTTCCGCTAGGATCAAATCAGATCAAATCAGATCAAATCAGATCAAAGTCAACTGGGACATGTCGGATTTTCACCCCATTTGCGTTGCTTGTATAATTATATTTTTAGACATATTGCCAATCATATTGCATATTTCCAAATGTTAACCAATAGAAAATCCTAAGTCAAATCATCAAGTAAATCTTAAAATGACCCCAAAAATCATCAGAACCATCCAACTGTTCATCATCCCCGCCGGTTGAAGCAGCACCGCCTGCAGCTGAGTCAGGAAGGCTGGGACCTTACTGTCCAGCGTTGACGGGCCACGCCGCAAGGAGGCCACCGAGGCATTGCTTGTGGCACGGGCGCCCGTCAGGCGCCTTGGTAAGGACCTTACCTGGTAAACTGCAATGAAGTTTTGGATGTATTTTATGATAAAACACACATGAAAGTGGAATTTCCATGAATTTCCTGCCTTTTGGCAGGGAAGATGTTCTTCTAGGCCATTTATTACCATTTCTGTGACTGTAGGTGGGGGTGATCGCAAAAAAACAACACAAAGACGCCATTCAGAAAAGAAAATTGGTGCTGGATGGTGAGCTTTCGCAGAACCCCGAAAAAACATAGAAATGCAGCAGGCTCGGCATAGCCCAGGAGCTGACTTCGCTCGAATTCATGACATCGGCCCCCGACTTCGAGGATGCTGTTTGCCTAGGGCGACCGAGCTCATGGAAGCTATTGGAGCCACAAAGTATATAGTCATAAAAACCAAAAAGAACTTGGGGGTGAGCTTTGGCCAACTCATCATGAAATGGAGTCTTCACGGAGTGAACATGGGATGTTCACCAACAATCAAAATAAAAGTTGGTAATTAAAATTAATTAAATTGTTTGTTTGAACACCAAAACATGTCTGCTTAGCAACAAAATGTGATTTGATACCAGAAAGTGAAGAGAGCAGCAAGCGCGGTATGGCCTGTAACATATGGGCTTTATCCAAGATACTAGGAGTTTGAGAAATAAATCCCTGAAATCCTCAACTGGTCATGGGATTGTTGAATGATGACAAATAATATCAAAATAGCTGACAATAATTTCTTTACTTCGAGTGATACCCACCCTGACATATTTTTAAAAATGTCATTCTATTGTTAATATTCTATTTGGCATATTCTAAACATATGTTCCGACATTTTATCTGGCATCTATTCTGACTTTCTACCTCGCTTTCTATCTGACATATGTTCCATATGTTCTGACATTCTATCTGGCATTCTATCTGACAATACATTCTTTCTAACATTCTGTCTGACATACTGGCGTTCGGGTCCAGGCGCCCTCCACTGCATCCGAAGCTCGCCACATGGCTCGGATCCATTCATGCCCACGGTCCCGACTAGCTGGCAGAAGCAAGAGGCGGAGAAGGTGGACGAGGACGAAGCAGGAGAACGAGGAGGAGGAGGAGGAGAAGAGGAAGAAGGAGTTGTACCCTAAAATCTAGAGACCCTACCTGGCAGGTGGGGAACCATTGGCAATAATCATATTGCCAAGTTTCAAGGTGTTTCTCTTTCTTTACCTGATCTTTGATCGGTAGATACGCAGCTTTCAGCTGTTTGGCTTATGTTGGCGTTCGATTCAAACAGTCCACTCCTATTGCGCTTGACTTGGGATCTGTGTTCCATTTGGCTCTGTCATTTGCTTGTTTATAAATAGATCAGATCGATTTTGGCTTTCCTGAGCGGACAGGAGCAAAGGGTCCGATGATCGATTGTGATAATGACGAGCAGGTCAAATACAAATACTTGCAACATCTTGCAACTGTAGTAGAGACTTAAAGCATCCAGCGCGGGACAAATCCAAATTCCAATAAGCGACAAACGCAACGTACATCCCAGGCAATGTGCCATTGAAGGCTTTAACACTCCAATAGCTCATGGCTTTTTTGATGAGAAATTCTGCAAAGCCAAACCATCCCAGACTTGGATAAAAATGGCTGTCTGAAGATGGGTACTATGGTACCCCTATGTTCTTTTTTGGATAATCAGCTTGTTCCCTACCCTCTGGTAAACTAACATAGCTATGGAAAATCACCATTTTTTATGGGAAAATCCACTATAAATGGTCATTTTCAATAGCTACGTTAAATTACCAGAGGGTATCCTATATTGGCTATTTGAGGGGACAAACCCATCTGATAAAGTCATGATCGTCCCGAGGTCACGGCCAGTGCAGTCACACCCTGGTCCTGTTTCACAGGCGCAGATCTGCTGCCGATTTTATCATCCCCCAACCCTCTTCGCTGAAACCACACATTTTTGGTGGGTAAATCTGCCGTGTTCCTGATGAAATTCCGCAGTTTTTGATGGTTGAAACTTGAAACTCCCATTTTGATCCATTTTGGTTGATGAAAACAACTCCAAACCGTGCACCCGACCTCAATGGCGTTGCCACGCAAGCCCAAACGGGTGAGTCTGCAGCCTAGAAACCGCTTCAGCTATCATGATTAACATGATACATGGATAGTATCATTATAGTTCCATTAGGACAGTTACTAACGTTATAGTAGTACCACTACAATGTAAGGTTATAACACTTCCACTGTTTTTATGGTGCAACTATAACATACATTAACATACTATATTTTTTTCAATGTATCTGTATATCATTGTATGGGGGCACCTTCCAAATAGTGATAATATAATACTCAATTGGTACCCCCAATTCAACAGCCTAGGGGTTTATTAATCAAGGGTTGACATTATAAGGAAACCGGATCACACACACACAAACAATCACAAACACATCTTTCCTCACGAAAGACCTGGATAGTGTGCTAATCATGTGCTAAATATGCTCTGTCCTGTCAGGAAAACATCTATCTTCCTGCAAAGTTCCTCCCTTCAAACCTCCAAGTCTAGGACTAATATCTGCACAATCAAGGCTTCACATCTACTGAATGAACCTGCAAAGAATCCAAACAAACTATCGTACCTCTGTCCGTTAATCAAAAACCGGATTTGGAACACTCTCCTTGAGTACCTCATTACTTTCATCACGAGCTTCCAATGAACTTTTGCTCAGTACTCCGTGTGGGCAACTCGGTGCGGGTCAAGATATCGCTTATCATCAGAACCTACGTGCCTTGTGGGACTAGCTACCTGGAAGGGGCTAAGAATGGGATCCAACATATGCAATCGCCAACGTCAATTCGCCAAAATTGTGTTTTGCACCCAATAACACAACAACACCGTGTGGAAACTGTCATTCGTCCCTGGGCAAATTAAAACAAAGTGCTAGCCATCATAAACAGTTCAGAAATGGTGAGTTCAGCCAGTGAGGTTGCTATCCTTCTCCCAAATACCTTACACAACATTTATTAGTTGGCTCAGTTACCATTCTGTTTGGTTAACTTCCTAAATATTACCCACCTGGCTGAGTCAGAATAATTCACCAACCGGACAAGAATCCATAGGGAGAAGTCCCAACGTAACCATCATTTGCAGTCACCTCCTAAGTGGGTCATTATGTCCTTCGCCCAAATACATTGTGAACTTACCATAACTTACCAGATATCACCCATATTGGAACATTCAAAACATCAACATATATATATATATATGTATATATGTATATATGTGCCATGGTCAGAGCATGGATGTGGTCATTCAACAATTATATAATTATTGGGGAATCCTTGTGTGTTGGCCATGACAATTCCCCTTTTTCACGGTGGTATGACCATCCCCAAATACCGAAATTCAACTTTTGACCATGGCACCTGTGGGCACATATCTGATTTTGGATTGTTTCCGCCAAAATCCAATTTTGAGGTATTCCATTCCATTCCAATTTCAGAATAGACCCATACAACAGATCAACCTGGGAATTTTTATATCAGTTCCATCCCACTGCATCGCAAGACAAATTGGAAAGAGAACGCTCTAACCATGTCCCACATCAAATATCCTGATTAAATCTCCCCATTCATGAAATATCTTGTCCATTCATTTCCCATATCATCATATACTGGTTGGTGGTTTCAACCCCTCTGAAAAATATGAAAGTCAGTTGGGATGATTATTCCCAATATATGGTAAAATAAACCATGTATAAAAAATGTTCCAAACCACCAACCAGTATATCATCTCCCATTCACTCACCATTTTCCCTAGTTCCCCCGGTGAAATGCCCAGTGATGGCGCCACGTCCGGCGCCTTGCGGATTCCGCAAGGCTTCGGCCAAGCGCTGCGCCCCCTGCGCCCCCACGCGGCAGCCGCAAAGCTCCAGGCGACGCAGAGGGATACCTGGCCATGGGAACATCATAAATCATGGGACAATCTTGGATATGATTTATGATGATTGAACAAAATGGATCATCCATTATGGTTCATTTATCATGGATCATCCATTATGGTTCATTTATCATTTAAAAAAATGGATGAAACATGAACCATATAATGATAAAGGTTGATAAATAGTGGGAATATCTGGGAATAGATTTATAATATATATATATATTATATAATAAAAAGCATCAATAGGATCCCCTTTTGTATTCAGTCTCTGACCCGGTAGATTCAGGACCCACTGACCGCCTGCCAAGAGGGCATCCGCTAAATATCCCGCACCAACGCTGCCAGCATCGGTGTACCTTAGCATTCCAAGCATGCCTTTCATTCCAGGACACTTTGAAAGAAAAGTCGGAAAACCAAACTGGTCAAGATACGGTGGATGGTTGCGAAATCCTGCACCAGTTGATGGGTGGTTTATCCCACTATTTATGGAGTTTCAACCATCCAAGGTGATGCAAGATTTCTTCCATCCACAGTATGTCAAGATATGTCAGGATTGTTGATGCAGCCCCTTAAATGGCCATGGCCTGGTTGACGCTTGTGTTATTTAAGGCACCTACGCCACGCCTTATGTGTGACGCTTGGTTCGTTCTTCAGAAAGGACTCGGATGCACAACCGGATGGCAGTAAAGGCCCGTAGCAGCTGTAGCACAGGACAAGCCATGCCCTGCTGAATGAGCCAACATATGGGAACACATGCCAATAGTATGACAAACCATGACAAACCCCCTAGCTTCTTTAACCTAACCTTTACCCTTTTACCTCATAAAGCTTGTGCCAATCTCTCAACCTCCAACCTGGCAGATATGAAAATTAAAAGAAGCTGCTCCAGATCAAGTTCCTTCAGATTCGGCATGCCATTCTGAAGCAGCTCTCCCAGGAACCACATGCCATCTGCCTGCCGTCATCACAGTCACTTCGCTGCCAGGCCGTCCATTTTCTGGTGGAACTTGGTGAAATTTGGTGAAGTCCCCTGGAAACCACGCCTGAAGGGAGTTGTTGGCCAGGTCCAAGCGCTCCAAATGGGCACAGGCCTGGTTGAAACTGGCAGTTGGGGTAAAGAATTGAATCACAGGTTGACCAACTGATTGACAATCTAGATTTTCGATTGATAAACTGATTGACCATCACGTTAATTCATGAGGTCTTCTGAAAAACATGAGGTCTTCTGATTTTTGGCTCACGATGACCTGGCGGCTTAAAATCTGGCCTTTCCAGTGAAAGCTTCAGCCAAGACTTGGCCGGCCAAGGGAGTGAACTCGTTGTTACCTCAGTCTCCGGATGTCGAATGCGTCAAACATGATTCCAGTACTGGGATTGCATTGAAAGGGTGCCGTAGCTCCAATTCCCTGATGGCTGTGCATTGCCTGTTTAGTAAAAGGACCAATAAATCAATCAGAATAAGATTAGTGTCAAAGCTTCATAAAGTATCCATGAATCATCACTCGCCTTCACATTAACCCGCACAAGTCTTGTGTGGACGTCATCCCCTTTCAGAACTCTGTCTTCACCACTTGGGGGTGCATCCCAGTTACATTAGTAAATGTGTTATACCCCCAGTTATATATGTGACTATGGGTTCTATACATGGAATAAACCGCTTACGATTCGTGGGAGCCCGCCCCTCCAACAACTTCTTGCTCAGTGGCTCAGAACCAGCCTGGCCACACCATTGGCCGGATGCGGCTCCAGAACGTCCAGTCTCGGTCCCATCATTTATAAACAACCCTGCAACCATACAAGAATGATCCAACCATCATCAACCAGCATCGACCATCATCAACCGTCATTAACCATCATCATCGGCCATCGGCCATCATCGACCATCAACCATCATCATCCATTTTGCTGGAAAAGCCACCATTTAGTTCGATGATTTTCCCGGCCTTAAAGCTCTATTTAGTTCGGGGATCTTCAGTTGCCATGTTGGATTGTTGGTGAGTTCTATTCCATATCATCCCCATTTATAGATCATGTTCCAATGATTTCCCAAAAAAACTCAGTTTTTGATGACACCAACCTCAACCCGTCCCCATCAGAACCTGCGCAAGCGCTTGCCACAGCCTCCGGGCATGGCTTTGGCCAAACATTCCAAGCCCTCGTCCCTCAGCCGATTCCGCGCCAGGCTGAGACCTGGAAATGGCCGTACATCTGGGTGATGTTTGAATGGATTCCCCAGTCACCATGGTTGACTTCGATGATTTGGGGGACCATTTTAGGAAACCTCCATATGGATATATGATATATGGGTTATTTCTGCTCAATGAGGTAAACCCAATAATAATATATCACCCCCACTAGGGGGGTATTTTTGGGTTTGCCCCTGTGACACAATATTAATCGTGTATGAACATGTAGCCTTACTACGAGATTGGACTAATGTAGTGTGATGTAATGTTTTTTTTACACATTATTTATTCCTTGAGATGGTATCACTGTACTAATTGCAGTAATGTGTAAACAAACACATTTAATCTAAAGTCACATTTGTATCATTTGTTCCCAAATGTATTATTGGACCCAACTTGGGTTTACCACATATGGATGTAATTACCTTTGTGGGCTTAAGTAATCATCATTCAAGGGTCCAGGAACAAAATCGTTAAAGCTGACATCTATAAGATGGCCTTTGTATCCCCTACCTTTGATCAAACCAACCTGCTGCGAATGGTAGCCCTTGAAAAGCCATTTGTCGCTGATCAGTCAATACTGATCAGTCCCAAACACTAATGGCTGTGTCATGGTGGGTTGAAAGACCATCTTCATTGGTTGGAATCCCATTATTTTGTTTGTTCATTGTTGCTGTTCTCGGCGGAACCCCCTTTTTCTTGGTCAAAACGTAATGCTAGTGGAAGTGAATCTCATATTTGCAAATTATCAAACATTAGTAAATGCTCATCACCATATTTTGTTGATTCCCTGGCCCCCAAGCACCGCACCTTTCAGCACAGAATTCTTTTTCAAACCCTGCGCCAACACTTCTGCCCCGCTTGGTCCTGCAGGGCATTCTCGACAGGATGGAGTTGGAAGGCAACGATTGTGACCGTACCACCCTAGGTCCTTTTTCTATGTAACAGTAAACCATTACATGTTTATAATTGCACGATAACTATATAGTAACTATTTAATAATAACAATATACATATATATATATATGAATAACTATATATATATAACTATATGTATATATAACTATATATATATATATAACTATATAGATACATATATATATATAACTATATATATATAATTGTATATATAACTATATATATATATATATCAATAACTATATAGATAACTGTTATAAATAACATTAAATAACTATATAACATACATACTGTTATGCAGATTAATTGAACAATGGTAAAATAATGTGGATAACCCCCGAAAACGAACCGCAAGTGTTGGGGAAAAATGTTGGGGGTATTGATGACATCAGCAATGGCTTGTCATCTCGGTATCCATTTTGGGGGTCAATTATTTTTGTCACCGGTGGGACATAGACACATATTCCAATGTCGTCATTTTTTGGGGGAACCAGTGATTTAGTTTCTTGGTCATTGATTTTAGTCACACACACATACATAATTAGACACATAGTGGTGTACAATGGGGCACAGGATAACAATAGAGTTTCGGACCTTCGTCCATCTTTTCAGTCTCTCATGGCCTGTCAACCAGGAATTGAGAAAGGATGGTTCCAAGGCAGCGTTCGCTAAAAATATTCACTAAGCCTGGCTAGATCTTGGAACCTTTAGGTGACCATGTCCTAGAGGCAAGACCATCTCTTGAGTCTCTTGAGGGTTTTTTTTGGCGTGTCACTCCTTTTCATCAAACCACACAAGCCCAACAGCAACGCAGCATGGCGCAGTGGCTGTCCTAGGCTGTTCTCATCCAGCCCTAGGCGCTCCAAAACACCACCGTCTCGCTCGCGCATTTCAAGGACAGGGACCAAAGATCGAACCCCTGTGGCGTGGGTACTGGCTTGGTTGAAGGGATTTCTTGCCGGAAACTATGGGTTGCTAAGGAGATGCTAAGGCTGCTAAGGAGTTTTCCCATCCAAATACGGGTTGTTTCCTGAACATTTAAGCTGAAACACATTGCAGATGGCGCCAGATCTATGCAAGACAAAGAAGGGAAACCATGAACAAACCAGTTGGATATGTCCGAAAACAGAAAGAAGATGCCTAACCCCCCAAAATAGGTCTACGATGGTCTCGTTGAGTAGACAATCCAACCTCACGCCCGAAAAACAGAGACCTTCCAAGCGCATCTATGGCATAGGGCAGCTGTCTTGACCATCCCCGACCTGCACTGGTCGCCGGTACTCTAAACCACCGGCCTTCAGGACCAAGGGCATTGCCACTCAAATCCAGAACATTCACCTTGCAGCGGGTCTCTCAAGCGAGTTTGGGCCATTGGGACATCCCATGGCTACAGGATAGCTATGGTTGGAAGATGTTGGAAGATGACCAGGTTGTAGAGCATGTAGCTAAAAGTGATTGTCCATAGCTATGCTAAGTGCTATGTCGTTGAAACCTCGATTTCCCCACTAGAATCTTTAGAATTGAAATTTTGTGGTATACAGATTACAAACTCATTGTTCATGATCATATTCCCAGTTATCCTCATAATTGCTGGTTGATACTCACGTTATTGCTGGTTTATCAATGGCCGGTGATTGGTAATCAACATCAACATTTTTGATTGTCAATCTCCCCATACACACCCACTATCACTGCACTGCACTGCTTGAATAAACTCAATATTTCATACACATAATTGTGTACAAATGTGCATACATAATCATACATAATGTATGTATGTGTATATATTTACATGGATATGTCTCAAAATTGGGTCCCCGACAATCCATTGGTTAATAAGCTCAATCACATGTTAACCTATCAACATAGCAATTTGAGGGGTGTGTGTGTGTATATGTATGTATATATATATATATATATGTCAATGTGTAGAAAGATATTTGGTATGCCTCATGTTCAGACGCACCATATCATATGTTTCAATATATGTACATATATACGTATATATATATATATATTTATACTACACATCTCGTACACATCCCTAATCCATACGCCAATTATATATTTATTTATTTATATATTAATTCATTTATGGCGGTTTCCTAAAATAGAGGTACCCCCAAGATCATCCATTTTAGATTGGGAGTTTCCACTGGAAACCATCTAGCTATGGGGGTACCCCCATTGCAGGAAACCCTCAGCATCATCCCGAGACGCCCCGAGACGCCCCGAGACGTCGCACCTTGAATCCCTTGCGGCTGCCATCGATTGCTTTCTCCGACTCACCGTCCTGCGGTTCCTGTGGTGCAAGGTGGTGCTCTAGTTTGCGTTGGTTGCCAGATCATTTATAACAGGTATATCAATTGATCAATAGATATCAATAGTGAATTGGGTTAATAAAACCAGTTTAAGGGAACCACCCTGTACGTTTAGGTGAGATAGATCCAATCCATTGTCCCCCCTACTGGATATCATGTGCTGCAGTGGAGCAAACAAACATATCGAACAGCAAGCAACCCCTCACATTTGGTCATTTTGTGTCATGTCCTGACATCCAAGGAATCCAATGTTCTGGGTCAGTGAGAGTGAGAGGTTAAGGCCATTGCAATATTGATGTTAGCCATAGTGGCATCCAAGCAAATAGAAATATCATGAAATATATAGAAATGCATTCATTTCCCATGCTATGTTCCAGGTGCTTTCCTTTCTTATGTGAACTGCCATGCCAGCTGGCCAAGTACACAACATGGAAGGACTTGTCATTTTCCTCCCATCTAGATTCACCCAATTTTTCCAAAAGAGCTTCCCACTGGATATGTTTTTCGTTCAACCCCAGAATCAGCCAGGTATCCAGGAGGACAAACAATAACATGGTCTACCAATGACATGTGGAGCCTGTGCCCCCAGCAAGGCTAGCTTGATGTTGCTGGCAGCTTGGTTCATCTTCGCTGCAGGCTTTTTGACTCGAAGGAAAGCCTGCTGCGGTTAAGGTCGCAGTCAAAACCTACATATACTGTGTCAAGGCTTTTAACATGTATTGTTTGAATGGAATAGGCAGAAAATCAATTGAGTCTGTAGGACTATCTCACATATCTCTCTCTGGAATCCTGGTCCAGTTGACTACCTTGGAGAGAAACATCGAGCGAAACTCAGCTGGAAATGGTGGATCGCCAGTGCCCAGCGTTCCCGCCTCTGCCAAAGCAGCTGTACCAGCTTCCCCCAGCAAGCAATCTGAGCCGGAAAAGCCCAAACTGGGACTTTATTTCATGGTCCACTGAAGAGGGAAAACATGATGGTTTTGGGATACCCAAGAACTTCTGTAAACTCATTTAAAATTCAATCTGGTCAATTGTATACCGACTATACTAGGAAACATACTCCCCACTATTAAATCTTTCCCGCAGTACTGTCTTTCTCATACTATCCTCGCCTTTTCTTGCTCGAACGACCATGCCATCTGCACACCCGACCTCCAGAGCCCTGCCGCCCAGTAGCTTTCCAGCTGCAGGAAGGTGACTTCGCAGCTGGGTAGGGTCTCAGCCAAGACTTGTGCGCCTTCTTCCCCCAAGGCGTTGCCTCAGCGGAGTCACTTCCCTAGCCTTCAATGGTAGTAGTCATATAGAGACACATGTGTATATATATATACATACCTAGATCTCAGATAATGTACATCATGTATATATATAATATGTGTATATATATAATATAATGTGTGTATATATATATTATATATGTCGGGAGAATGTGTTTGGTCGCCCCAATGCTTTTGCTGATTAGAATGTGCTCAGTGTGTATACATTTGAACACGAACGTTATTAGGGGGCTTGTGAAACGTGCACAACTTCTGTGACACGTGCACAACTGCTGGGAAACGTGCACAACATCTCTGACACGTGCACAACATCTCTGAAACGTGCACAACTGAAACGTGCACATATAGAATACTTGAAAACACTAGGCGGGGGCGGTGAAACACGTTATACCCATGTATGTACGTGTATATATATATATATATATGTATACTTCAATGAAAACCAGTAAGATTGGATGATGTTTGAATAAACAGTATTAAACTATACCTAGGGGCTTGCATTCGGGATTACAATGGGTTACTGAGCATCAATTGCAATTCACACCAACACATTCCCACATGATGGGGAACATGTTTCCCTGAATGTGGAAAGACAATATGACCACCTCATGACTGGTCAAAACATGGTGGATTTGCGCATCTTTTCCTCGATATCCTCCACCCCTGTAGGACCCTGTAGGACCCAAGGTACAGCGTAGACCCAGGTGATTCGCTGACTTCTTGGAGGATTGAAGCAAGCGTCGGAGCTCTGGTAGCAGCTCCACCTGGAAATAAAAAACTGTGACTATATCTTTTCTGTACCCTTAGTATATGTACCAACACAATCCAAAACAGTAGTGGTAGGTGAAAATGGCAATATGTTTAACATATTCATATAATTTCATATATAAATCATTACGTAACATAGAACGATCCGAAATATATCAAGTTGTATTAGACTGTGCCTGGGGTGTGTCCGGGTCGAAGTATAGGTTCAAAGACTATGTGGTTCGTAACCATGGTCATCATGGTCATAATCCGCTTATCTTCGCTTCATGCATGTGATATCCCCAGGTGAATATTAGGGAAACATTTCAGGGACACATCCACCATCATGTGAGTTTTCTTGAGCTCCAAGACCTTGCCTGGTGCGGGGGCATCTCCAACTGGATCACTGGAACCTCCAAACTGGCCATCCTTTGTGTGAAGTTTGTCAGCTGAGCCTCTGTCAGCTCCTCCCACCGATCACAAGGGGATGAGTTCTCCAGCAGAAAGTTCTTGACTGGGTCTAGGGACATCTGGGACATGGAATACTTGAGCTGTGTGAATAAAAACGACCAACTATCCCAACTCTTGCCTGAAATTTGGATCAATGTGGACCCATACCCAACTGTTCCTCCAATTTACAAAAGTTTTTCCACCAAAACTGGGTAGGAACCACCAAAACTAGGCCGCCGCTGGTCCTTCTTTTTTCGTAGGTCCAAGGAGATGTTCACCTTGTGTGTTGCTGCCATCTCGATCATCAAATCAAAGAAGAGGTTCCAAACGGAATCGAAGATGATGTCCTGTGGAGATTTGACATGAGATCAGAACTGGATTTGAGATTATGGTTATGATTCGATGGATTCGTACTATGAAGCTACTCAAAATTGATAGCATGGGCAGAAATAAAAATCGCAATAGTTGTACACACCGTCAAGCTATCTTAAACTGTGTTTATAGCTTTCAAGTAAAACATAGTCTTCCACTAGGTCTGAAAGTTTGGAAGATGCGACTAATTCAACCCGAAGCTACCCCCGCTTATTCACGCATGGAAGCAACTGCTTCAGAGGGCAACCTGCCAGGAATCTCTCAACCTCTGGGAGATCCAACATTGCTGCAATTTTCTGTGAGAATCGAATCCGGGTTCCCCAAAGTCCAGTGGAGTTGATCATGGTTTATCGCGGTGCAGCAGCATTCGACAGTTTGGGATGTTGGGTCAGTTGGGTCCACTCCCAAATTCATATCCGTGCTCCTCTGCCAGAGGTAGTCCGATGATGCGTTTTTCCTTCATGTAGCCTCAGGAAGACGAAATTGTAGTGGTAGTAACTGGTAGTACAACCCCACAGGGACAAACAGCGATGGTGTTTCTTTAGCACAGATCATGCTCGAAGAAAAGTCACAGGATATAGCTTCAATGTTGCCTCACCGACACAAGTCATCGCTATCAGGGGGAAAAAATGTAAAACAGGGGAACTAGGACACTTTATGTTAGTATGTTCCCTGTTATTGTTTTTATGTTTGGGGCTAATGTATTATCGTTGTTGTTGATGTTTATGTGTTGTATGTTCTGGGGATTTTTTGTCCCTAACTTTTCTGGGAATTTCTGTGTTTGGATGAGGGGGATAATTGTTTAGGTTGTTGTGTTTTTATGTTTGGATTGTCAGTCAGGAGTTTGAAAAGAGGGGAAGACATCATTAAGATAGTCAATTGTTTCTTGGTGTTTTATCCTTGTCTTTTCTTTCTCACTTAAAACGGGTTGCTCTGTTTGTTTGTTGTTAGTCCTGTTCAAATTGTTTTTACGTCGTTTGGAACTTTCGTGTCTTGACATCTTTTGTCTTGAAATCTCTATTTTACAGATTGGACATTAACTTTTTTCTTTTTGTTTCTCCAATTTTATTTCCCTGTATTGTTCATAATGTTCCTTTGCCTTTTGTCTCAATTCGTCTCTATGGTTTTCTCTATATCGTTGTTTATATTCAGAACATTTTTGACATAGTGCATTTCCCTCATCAAAGTTGTCTAGAGGTTGTGTTTTACTACATCTTGAACATTTCCTGCAAGTATCTTCACTCCTTAGGGTATTATAGGACTATATCTTTAAATAGGTTTCTGGGTCTTAAAGATTACTTCATAATATATTGTATTAAGATATTATGAATTAATCATCAGGATTAATGTCTCCACTTTTCATCACCACTACCTATGCCATCCCAACATTGAGAAACAATTGTTTTGATGTTGTAGAACACTAAAATGATTGCGTCTCTATCAAGTCCTCGTTGGTCAATCAAGTATCCCAACACTGACAATAGTGTATAATAGTTTTGTTGTAATGCTGTCATTCCTCCTCTATGGTGTATCCTCTCACCGTGTTTTTTGATTAAATCTTTATCACATATGTTTTCATAAATTTCTTTCATAAGGTCGTGGTTTATCTCTCCATACTCTGCGTATTGTTCTAAAAATTGTTTTTGCTTAAGTAGTAGGTCATATTCTATAAAGTTATAATCAGGATAAGGATATTCTTTTATGAAATTCATTAATCTTTCTCAATCTCTTTTTAGTTCCTCTTCACTAACTCCAATCATTGGCATTTTTCACTTCCTATATATAGGTGGTATTGAAGGATGCTTGATATGCAAAACCAAACAGGAACCACAGCGCCTAACCTCAATCAATACATGAATTTGAAGCAAATAATTCGACATCTTTGAACAACAGCTTGGTAGAATTTGAACCTGAACCTACACATAGAAACTCTGACCACCTCAACAATTATCCCCTTCATTCAATCCAAACATTATCACAACAACCTCAACAACACATTTAGCAAGATTAACAGAAAGAAACAGTCAAACATTTAGATTTACAACATTGAACAAAAACATAACAGCCCCCCACCTGACCTCCAACCTGTCTTGTCCCAGTTCCCCTGTTTTACCATTTTTTTGGGGGCCACAAATGCTTTGGCAGGAAAGTCACCAGAACCAAGTTGGATGTAGAACTCAGTGACATCCAAAAACCCAAAAAAACGAGTATGGATTCTGGAAACAGTTTTGTAAACCAAACATATGAGTCATATGAGTATGTACATATGTATTCCATATTATTAATCTCTATATATATATATATATATCGCTAGCCCCCCCCCAAAAAAAAACCTACCTTTGCCTGCTTGTAATGCTAAACTACAACTGTTTGGAACTAGTATTGTTCCCAGTGAATACTGCATAGACTAAGAGAGCTTTCTTATTGAAGTTATGCTGTGCCATGTGTATATATATATATATATCGTATATATATATGGTGTATTAAATATTTATGAGTATATAATATATATATATATGTATAATATGTCTTGTAAATATTATTATATATAATATACTATGGCAGTGGCACCTACAACTAATGATAAAATTGTAGACATATATATATATATAATCCCCCTTGCAATTCGGGCTCCGACCCTGACCCCTGAATCTTTAAGGGACCACTGGTAGCCTCTTAAAGAATGCGAACCAGGGCAAATTTCAGCCTTAAAGAATCTAACCCCAATGAATCAAGATTGCAACACAGTAGCCAGGTATGTCCCTTTAAAGGATTGGAGACCCAAGTTGCACACCAAGGGGTGCCCCTTTAAAGAATTGGATACCCAAGTTGCAGTCGAATGGACGACGGCGCAGTCAAGCATCATCAATAAGATGCGCATGCAATCATATGAGAACATATAGACTTATTTATTTGTGTCTATATTAGGATTATTATAATTCATTCGGCATTTTTAGGTGAATTTTGAAAGCACATCTTTAACATTCTTCAACTCTGGAAGGTGTTTTAACAGATTTTTAACACAAATTCTTGCATTTACAATTCTCCTTGGAATTATCCTGCTCACATGGACTCCAGCATTCTTTAGACAAAAAACGGAGGTCCACCTTGTACTACTGAAATGGCACATCTAAAGAATGCCTACCTAGGATGCAAGGGGTCTAAGACCATCTAAGAGCCCAGGCAACCAACTACAACAAATACAAAAAAAACACAAAAAAACAAATACAAAAGTAAACCTCTAAAAAATAGGGCGTCCATGTTAGCCATGTGGACATCAACAAACATAAAAAAAACACCAAACGTACCCAAATGATTCCTTTGCACACCGGAGATGAAATTTGCCCTTCTTTTGCCCATGCCAGATTAGCGGCTTCTGTTTTTGTCATGGCAGAAGCTTCTGCCAAAGCGTTGTCTTTGGCTGCCTCCTCTTGTTTCATTTTTCTGGTTTGATCAAAATTGATTGTAAACAACATACATATCCCCCTTTGTATTCAGTCTTTGACCCGGGTGTCCGGTTCTTTGGTGGAGGGTGCCATTAAGAATGATAAAGAATGAAGTCCTGCCTCCGGACACAATGAGTTTTGATGGATCTTCTAAAGACAACTGGTGTTATGCCTGGGGATCTTGGGGATTTCCTGGGGACGTCTGGATATGAGACGTGGGCTGGGTTCGAGCTGGTGTTTTGATTCTTTAGAGGCTCAGGCCTGTCGACCCTACAACTTGGGATATTTTGGGGAGGGTGCCACAAAAAAGAATCAGGTCCTGCCTCCCGACACAGGGAAGGGTGTCCTTAAAGAATCAGGTCCTGCCAAAACACTGTTTTTTTCGAGCATTGTTTTGATTCTTTAGAGGCTCAGGGCGTGTCGACCCTGCAAAACCTGGCAGTTTTTCACAGTTTGGGGTATTTTTTGGGAGGGTGCCATTAAAAAATAAGGTCCTACCTCCGGACACACTGGGTTTCGATGGATCTTCTAGAGACAATTGGTGTTATGCCTGGGGATCTTGGGGATTTCCTGGGGACGTCTGGATATGAGACCTGGACTGGGTTCGAGCTGGCGTTTTGATTCTTTAGAGGCTCAGGCCTGTCGACCCTACAATTTGGGATATTTTGAGGGGGTGCCACTAAAGAATCAGGTCCTTCCTTCCGACACAGGGAAGGGTGTCCTTAAAGAATCAGGTCCTGCCAAAACACTGTTTTTTTCGAGCATTGTTTTGATTCTTTAGAGGCTCAGGGCGTGTCGACCCTGCAAAACCCGGCAGTTTTTCACAGTTTAGGGTATTTTTTGGGAGGGTGCCATTAAAAAATAAGGTCCTACCTCCGGACACAGTGGGTTTCGATGGATCTTCTAGAGACAATTGGTGTTATGCCTGGGGATCTTGGGGATTTCCTGGGGACGTCTGGATATGAGACCTGGACTGGGTTCGAGCTGGTGTTTTGATTCTTTTGGGCTCAGGCCTGTCGACCCTACAACTTGGGATATTTTGGGGAGGGTGCCACTAAAGAATCAGGTCCTGCCTCCCGA